CAGACATTAATTAAATATGTTCTTTATTTACATGAAACTCAAAATATTGGACACAATGGGACACTTCACTCTAACTCTAACTGTAAAAGAAAAATCATAGCTATATTTGTACAGTTGTAAAATATTTGGCTATTAGGCTACCAGTTATTATTTTTATTAGTTATTTTAGTGTGAGTGTTTAAGAAGTGGAGGCCTATTCACCTTTATTTTCAGCTACCATCCACAAAGTCTGTTCTTGTTTTATATAGTTAAATAAATTTAAATCAATAAAATAAATTTAAATCAACAAAAATAAATCAATTAAAAGTGTGTTTAAGTTGAGCTCATTCAAATGCAAAGCAGCTAAACAAGGATTCAAACATAAAAAGTAAGATAAACTGATACTAACTGTTATACCTCGTACACTAAACACAATAATTAAACAGAATATTAAATTAAAAAGCGATTGTTGTTTCTTCTAACACAAACTAATAATTCCTTGTTTATGTGTGAACTACATTTGCCTCAAGAATAGAAAGAAAAAAAACTACATGTGGCGCTGTTTTGATTTTTTCGGCTCGCGTTGATGACGTCACCACAGGCGCCTTCAGTTGTCTGTTGTGTTCCGAGCTGAGGTAAGCGACAGTTCACGGAGCTTTGTGTTTTACACAATTAATAAACATTAATATTTACACTGTCGTTGCTGGATTATTTCAATATTGCTGATGTTGTTTGTTCGTCTCTTCAAGCTTCTGCTGACCGAATACACATTTAGCATAGTAGACAACGACGTAAGGAAAAATTGTCAAATTTCTTACGACCTAAACAATTTAACGCGTGTTTTTGTTAGTTTTGGGTCAGATTAGCCTGATGTTTTATCAATAGAAATGCGCATTAGGGAATATTTTCATTTTATTTCACAGATGTTAAAACCAAACTGACTCACAGACAATATGAATACTTGTAATAAGTGAATTTATGTAAAAATATATAGACTCAAGCAACAGACTTGATATAACAGGCTTGTGTTTATGAACGAATCAGTGTGATAACATCTATTGCTGTGGTTTTGTCAGTTCTGCTTCTTGTATCACACATTGGTTTTCTTCAGTGAAGCTCCTCACACAATATTTGACCAATAAATGCTGGATTGTTGTCCCCAGATGGCAAGTGAAGAAGAGTCTGTAAAAAGGACACCGCCAACATGGATGGTCCACAATCCTGCAGAATAAAACATGAAGATGCTGAAGAACTAATAGGTTGGTGTTTATACTTGGTTCTTTATTATAACATTATAGAGCTTAAATAATTTCTTGAAGCAATTCTTGCAGACAGCACTGCATAATTAAGCTCACAATATGCACAAAAATAAATGCTTATTTAAGGTACTGACGTGATGTCAAATGCTGAGTAAGGGATAAAGTACATTCATGCAGATGTTATCACAGAATAAAGCCTGACATGCTTAAACATCTAGAACAACCTAGATGTTAATCAAACTCGATTTCTGGAAGGCCGCAGCTCTGCACAGCTTTGCTCCAACCCTAATCAAATACATCTGATCCAACTACTCAGAATGTTCAGGACTACTAGAGACTGTTAAGCAGGTGTGAGTTGGAACTGGTTGAAGCTAAGCTATGCAGAGCTGCTGCCCTGCAGGAATTGAGTTTGAGACTATTGATGTAAATGATTTATTGCATAACATCCACATAAGACACCTGAAAATCAAACAATTTAAAGTTGTACTTTTGTTTTGATCTTTGATAATATTACAGAACTTTCAGCTATCCTTTAGATAGCCTTGCAGTTTTTAATAATCATACAATACATTAAGATAGGAAAATCAAACGTTTTTGAAAGGTTTCACTTTCATTTTAGACCTGATGGAGGAGAACAGGCAGACTGGAGAACTCCTTGAAGCAGTAGAGAAACATCAGGACACACATGGACAAAAATCCATGAGTCCCTCTTTCCAAAGCAGACCTGAAGTACACTTCACATGCCCTCAGTGTGGAAAGAGTTTCTCATGTGATCAGAGTCTCAATCTTCACATGAAGTTTCATCGGGGAACAAAGCCGTATGCATGTGATCAATGCGATAAGATATTCACACTAAAAACAAACCTTAATGAACACATGAAAATTCACACTGCAAAGATGCTTTACACATGTGGTCAGTGCGGGACGATATTCACAGATGAAGGAAACCTTAATGAACACATGAAATCCCATGTTGTAGAGATGCCATTCACATGTGGTCATTGCGGCAAAAGATTCACATATAAGGGAAACTTTAATGAACACATGAAAATCCACACTGGAGAGAGGCCTTATGCATGTGATCAGTGTGGGAAGAGATTCACACATAAAGGAAATCTCAATAAACATATAATAGTTCACACAGGAGAGAAGCCGCACTCCTGTGATCAGTGCGGGAAGAAATTTAAACTCAAGCACATCCTCAATGACCACATGAAGATCCACACCGGAGAGATGCCGTATATGTGTGATCAGTGCGGGACGAGTTTCAGAAAGTTGGACACCTTCAGGTTACATCTGCGATATCATTCTGGAGTAAGACCGTTTTCTTGCGATCAGTGTGGTAAACATTTCTTTACATCCGTTGCACTTAAGTATCATGTTAAAGTTCATGCAAAGGTGAAGCCTCATGTTTGCTCTTTGTGTGGAAAGAGTTTTATGGAATTGAGCGGTTTAAAAAAACACCAGAAAAGACACAGCGGTGTGAAGAACCATGTGTGTTTCGCGTGTGGGAATACCTTTTTTGATGGCGCCCAACTGAAGCGGCACCAGAGAGTTCACACTGGAGAGAAACCATACGACTGTCCACACTGTGACAAGAGATTCAGTCAGCCAGGACATCTGAAAACGCATGAGAAGATCCACTCTGGAGAAAAGTGACACGTGTGTGATCAGTGCGGGAAGAGTTTTATACGTAAAGGACACCTTAGGGATCACATGAAAATCCATGTGAAAGTGAAAGTGCATCCCTGTCCTGCATGTGGGAAAAAATTTGCTTACTTAAATTCTCTGAACAATCATACAAAAAACAAATGTCTAAAATCACAGTAAGTTGTTCCACTCTAGTCTTTTGAAATGTGAAGTTCAGATCAGTTCAAATTTTTTATTCCTCCTAAAAGGTGTAATATGCTTTATTATAATGCTTTATGGACTCTTAGTCTAATTATACCATGATTGTGACTTTATCAGCTGTAATATATGAAGTTTAACAATAAATGTTAATGTTTAATTTGTGCCATGTGTTTTGATTATTTCTTAGAGCATGTATATATATATATATATATATATATATATATATATATGATATATGAGCATATATATGATGAGTTCAGATGCAAAAACCTCGAAGTGCCGTCTGACATTTCCATTGGAAATGAGCATTTATCTCAGACTCCTATGTTTATGTTGAGTTGTTTAATTTGAAAAACCTTTAAAAGAGTGTATTCTTTGCCGTAAGCTTGATGTTACTGAACCTAAACACAGGTGCCTCATAAAAATGCTCTGTTTTTGAAGGAAATTTCAAACGGCTTTTAGAGGTTTCTGCATATGAACTCTTCATATATTAATTCATTTATTTATTTTCTTTTCTGCTTAGTCCCTTTATTATTCAGGGGTTGCCACAGTGGAATGAACCGCCAGCTTATCCAGCATAAGTTTTACGCAGAGGATGCCCTTCAAGCCTCCAAGCTTAAGGGAAAAAAGTTGTACAAAGGCCAATTGATAATACACAGTCGGACACAACATCATACAGAAAGCATAAGAGAAAAAAATAGAGGTAAATATATTTTTTAAAAATAATATTAATTTACAGAGAAATGTGTAGGCTCCACAACTCGGCACAGCCAATTTAGTTTATTCAATTCACCTATAGTGCATGTCTTTGGACTGTGGGGGAAACCGGAGCACTTGGAGGAAACCCATGCCAACTATGGGAAAATATGCAAACTCCACACAGATATGCTAACTGACCCTGCTGGGGCTCGAACCAGCAACCTTCTTGCTGTGAGGCGATCGTGCTACCCACTGTGCCACCGGGACACCCACACTATATTGGAAGTTATTAAATATGTTGACTTTAATAAGATTTCTGTATATTATTTGACTAAATAACATAATAGCCATTTGTAGTGACAATGTTAATGATGTTCTGCGCAAGGTTACCTTAAATGATAGTGTCACACAAGCAAACTTTAAAGTAATGTTTTTGTGTTGTCATATACTACACGCCATGTTTTTGCCAAGTAAGATGTGATCCTCAATTGACATCTATGTCGATCCTGGACGATCTTTTTTTGTTCAAAAATGCAATCCATATCCATTCCCTACCCCTAAACCCAACCATAACTGTAAATTATTCCTAAAACCAGAGGGGAATAATAGTTGGATAACAATTATGTAGAAGTGCATAGATCTATCTGTAAGCCTAAATTTAACATAAATAGTAAACATATCACTTAATTCTGATTGTCTGATTAATTTCAGTGTATTATTTGACTAAATAATGTAAAAGCCTTTTGTAGTGACAAGGTTAATGATGTTCTGCCCAATGTTACCTTGCAAATGAAATAGTCACCCAAGCAGACTTTAAAATAATGTTTTTAGTGTTGGCGTATTTGCACTTCCTGTTTCTTTCCTTCACTTTCGCCAATTGGTGAAGTTTTTTTCCTTTGTCACTGTTGCCATTGGCTTGCATAGTTTGGGACTTTTAGAGCTTTGCATTGATGGATTACTCTTCAGTGTTTGGACCCCCAGCAGTGAATATTAAAGCACATTGAACTGAACTGAGCTAATCTGAACTGAACTTAAACTCTGAAAACTGATCTACACTGTTTTAATTTACTCTAATTTTCTATGTGAAGCTGCTTCTTTGACACAATCTACATTGCAAAAGTGCTATACAAATAATAAAGATGAATTGAATTGAACTTTGCAAAGAACAATGCGATCCTGGATTGACATCTATGTTGATCCTGGAACATATGTTTTGTTTGGAAATGTAATCCATATACATTCCCTACCCCTAAACCCAACAATAAATGTAATTACTCCCCAAATCCCAAAGAAATATTAATAATAGTTTAGGTGAATTTAATAAATATTATCAACAATGAATTTAGCCTAAACTTAACATAAACTGTAAAAGTTTCCCCTAATTCCGATTGGCTGAATAGATGTTCCAGGATCAACATAGACGTTAATGCACATGCCCTGGTGAAATCAGGTTGGCGGTCATAGCCTTTCTATCATTACTGTCATAAACACTCTGGACAAGATCACAAAATACAAAATCACTGTACGTAAATCCAGTCAGAAATAATATGATTTGATCTTTGTTCTAACACGAACTAAACTAAGGATATGTATGAACTACAGTTAGCTTTACAAAATAAAAAAAAACTACAATTGGCGCTGTTTTGATTTTTTTCGTCTCGCCTCGATGACGTCACCATCGGCGCCTTCACGCGCTGTTGTGTTCCGAGCTGAGGTAAGCGACAGTTCACGGAGCTTTTTTATGTTTTACACAATGGATAAAAGTCACAGTTTCTGACAGCAAGATTGCAACATTTTCCGCAGTTATTTATGTATTGTTTTCATCTTGTCGTTGCTCTTCTTTTCAAGCGCAGCTGACTGAATCGGACATTTAGCTAAACAGATAACGATGTGAGTAACAAATGTTGAATTTCTTACAACATAACCAATTATGTATTTACATGTATGGTTGTATTGATGTTTTTAATACGAATACACTTCGGGGGAACATTATTCCATTGACTTTGAATCTAGACTTGCCCACAGGTATATTAATACGTGTAATATGTGAATTCATGTTAAAGTTAACTCTACATTTTGAACAACGCTGATAGATAAACTGAAGCAACAGGCTTGGTAAATTAAGGTTAATGAACGAATCCGTTTGATAACACCTATTTTGCTGTGTTTTTATCAGTTCATCTGTGAAGTTTCTCACAAAATATTTGACCAATAAATATTGGATTATTTTCCTCAGACAAAAAGTGAAGAAGAGTTTGTAAAAAGGACACTGGCAACATGGATGGTCCAGAATCCTGCAGAATAAAACATGAAGATGCTGAAGAATTAATAGGTTGGTGTTTATATCAGGTGCTTTATTATAACATTGTAGACCATAAATAATTTTTTAAGTAATTCTTGCAGACAGCACTGCATAATTAATCTCAATAAATGCTTATTTAAAGTCATAGATATATATACACTTACACTCACACAAGGACCCTGGGCATGCGTCAATAGCGCCGCCACTTTTGTACAGTGCTCCCAGGACAAATGTCATTTAACCGCACTAGTCAGGACAGTGTGCCAATGTGAAGATGCTGGACTTTTGCGCTGCATACAGTTGTAGTAATGAGCAAACAAAGAAAACAAAGTAGAGGCCGAACATTTCATAGGTAAGATTTAGCTTTTTATGATTTTGTATGTTATGAACTTTTGTGCTAAACAAGTAACGTTATTGATGATATACACTCACTCACTGCGTTCACAATAAGACAAATTACCAACTTGCACTAAATACTAGGCTTATGCTAGTTTTGTTAAAATAAATTAAGCAAACAATGTAAATGAAATATGACAATAAAGATGCTGTAGTGCCAGAAACATATTATTTTTATTAATTTTTACTATTATTATTTTAACTGACTTATTAGTATTATTGTTGGCTAAATAAACAAGCCGTTCATAACGGAGATTTATTCACAAACACTCTTTCCGTTAGTATTAGAGGTGAAAGCAGGAAAGGGGTTGTGTTTCAGGACATGGATTAGATCAAGATTAACAGGAAGGGAGGATAATACAATTTTCATGCACACATGCTCTTTGTCTGCAATGGGCATAGAAAAGTGATGTAAAATGATAATTTTCGTAATTTAAAAAAGTATTTGCATACTGACCACCGGGAAAACTCCCAATCAAAGATGTATGTGTATATCTCTGGCTCTGGATGGCCACAGTGCTCCTCTTCACCTTGGTCATGCATTCATTTTAAAGGAGCGCTACCCTGTACTAAAATGGCGGCTCTATTGACGGATTCCTTTCAAAAGACAACAACAGGGTAAGCCCATCTGATGTAAATATCTATAATTTAAAGTACTAAAGTGATGCCAAATGTTAATCATATAACACATCAGCATAGGAAAAATCTAACTTTTTGTTTCACTTTCATTTTAGACCTGATGGAGGAGAACGGGGAGACTGGAGAACAGCTTGAAGCAGTAGAGAAACATCAGGACACACATGGACAAAAATCCACGAGTCTCTCTTTCCAAAGCAGACCTGAAGTACACTTCACATGCCCTCAGTGTGGAAAGAGTTTCTCATGTGAACAAAGTCTCAATCTTCACATGAAGTTTCATCGAGGAACAAAGCCGTATGAGTGTGATCAATGCGATAAGATATTCACACTAAAAACAAACCTTAATGAACACATGAAAATTCACAATGTAGACATGCTGTACACATGTGATCAGTGCGGGAAGAGTTTTCTGCTAAAAGAACGCCTTAATAAACACTTGAAAATACACACGGGAGAAAAGCCGTTCACGTGCGATCAGTGTGGGAAGAATTTCCTCCATAAAGGATACCTTACAGAGCACATAAAAATCCACACTGGAGAGAAGCCGCACACGTGTGATCAGTGCGGGAAGAGATTCGCATATAAGGGAAACCTCACAGATCACATGAAAGTCCACACTGGAGAGAGGCCTTATGCATGCGATCAGTGTGCCAAGAGATTCAAACACAAAGGAAATCTTATTGAACATGTGAAGATTCACACAGGAGAGAGGCCGTACTCGTGTGATCAGTGCGGGAAGAAATTTAAACTCAAACACATCCTCAGTGACCACATGAGAATCCACACCGGAGAGAAACCCTTCACTTGTGAGAAATGTGGGAGAAGTTACACACGAAAGCGGAATCTTTCCGATCACATGAAAAGCCACACTGGCGTAAAGCTGCACACTTGTGATCAGTGTGGGAAGAGTTTTGTGAAGACAGGTGTTTTTAAAGTACATCTGCGTACTCATTCGAGAGAAAGACCTTTTAACTGCGACCAATGCGGGAAAGATTTTCTTAGGGCAGATGCTCTGAAGGATCACCTCAAAGTTCATACACAGGAGAGGCCTTATGTGTGCTCTTTATGTGGGAAGGGTTTTAGACAGATGGGCACTTTAAAAGTACACCAGAAAAGACACAGCGGTATAAAGGATCATATTTGCTCCGAGTGTGGAAAGACTTTCTTTAGAGATTCTGAACTGAAGGTGCACCAGTCAGTTCACACCGGAGAGAAACCTTTTAAGTGTTCACACTGTGAGAAGACGTTCAAACGGGCTGAGTATATGAAAATGCATGAGAGGATCCACACTGGAGAAAGGCGATATAGCTGCGATATATGTGGGAAGAGGTTCACGCAGTTATCAACTCTCTACAGTCATACAAAAAACGTCTGCCTGAAATCTCAGTAAGTACTTCATGTTCGAATCCTTTACTTTCAGATGTGATGCTGCTTTCTCACCAAACAAGATCCAATAATATGTAAAGCAATGCAGGTTATGTTTGATAAGCCTTAAATCTGATCAAAGAAAAAAACTTGTCAAAAATAATTGATTTAAATTTTATGGTCTAGAGCAGGGCTTCCTAGACTTTTCAGCCCTCGACCTCCTAAAATAACAATGTCAGTGACTTGCGACCCGCAATATCCTCTGAGATGGTTATATCTATATAAACCTAGCACACAATAGGCCCAAGTCTATTTATCTTTTAAACTTGAGTGCCGTAAAGATGTCAGAAAGTTTAACCTGGTGCCATAAAATCAATGCGCTGCATCTAACACAATTTCTGTGTCTTTAATATAACATAATCGCTCTAGTAATCACTAGAAAATCGAAAGGCTGATGGCTTTTTATATGTATGCTGTTTTTTAGTGTAATTATTACCTACAATGTTATTTCTTCTGTAGGTTATTAATAATTTATGGTAATTCCAATAGTTTAATCAAATGAATTTGATTTTTGGAAATTACCAAGCGATCCTCAGGGGTGCACAGAACCACAGATCTAGAGCAGGGGTCGAGAACCTTTTTTCAGCAATTTTTTTTTTTTTATCAAATGCATTTTTTAAGAGCCATTTGGGGTGTGTGTATATAACAAAACCTTTATTTATTTATAAACAAAACCTGTATTTATGTCCATGCACAACTCAAAAATAAACAAATATGACGCGTCACAATGAATGAAGAAAGGACTATTTATAAAATATTTTCTTTTTGCCATCGCCTCTTATGAATGTTGTTTGAATTTACGTGCGTGAGGTACATAGAAATGTAAGTTGTTTGCCCTTTATTAGTGTCGCGATTCAAGTTCAACCACATATGCGCATTGGTTGAAACGTCTATTTATTGCAAACTGAGTTTTTATTCATTTTGATGTAGAAAATACAATATAAAGGGAATTGTAATTGTATATTTAATAGCAAACGGATTTCTAATGACAGTTATAATGTTTTAAACTTTAAAATATTAGTGAAGAGAGACAGATGGAGCCCCCGAGCCATAGGTTCCCTTCCCCACATCTAGAGTTATGCTGATTTTACAACCCCCTTGAAAGATAAGGTCATAATGATATGGAACATTTAAAAACTGCACTAGTTCATTTGTGTTCACCTGAGAAACTTAACCCAGGCAAAGCCTTGAGCAACTTGTATTACCATGTCCATTCTTTGTCCTTTGTGTTATTTTACTTTTATCAAAGTAAATTATTTGATCATTTGAGTTTTTTTTCTAAAAAGTCATGAAGTAGCTGTTTGATTCTGCTTGATAAAGCTGCCTAACAAAAAAATCATGCATTTTAGATTGACTTTTTATGTCTGCAGATCTGCTCCCACAGCAGAGCAGTGAAGATCCATAGTTCTCCGCCTTCAGTGAAGCTCCTTCCCCAGCAGTTCACCAATAAGTGCTGGAATATTCCCATAAGTCTACAAGTAAAGGAGTAGTTCATAAAAGATCATAAATAACATGAGTCTGCAGTATGAAACATGAAGGTAACAAAGAGGTTGGTGTTTATTTCTGATAGTTTTTTAATGATGGTAATGGTTATATAGGTTAAGTATGTGATCTTAGTTCACAAAACCATTCATATGTAGCACTGGTAACCAAAAATACATTGTGTCGGTCAAAACTATCGATTTTTATTTAATGAAAAAATCATTATACTATTAAACAAAGATATACACTACCGGTCAAAAGTTTGGGGTCAATTTTCTTTTTTATTATTCATTTTATTTAATAATTTTAGAAAATGATTATTTTTATCAATTCAGCATTTATTAAATGTAAAAAAGTTCAATTGTTAAATACTTATTTATTTAATATTTAATACTTATTGAATGTAGTTTCAAATGAAATTATTACTCCAGTCATTTTTGCTTTATTACTATTACCAATAATAATAATAATAATAATAATAATATGTAATATTGGAGTGACTTCTGAAGGATCATGTGACTGAAGATTGGAGTAATGAAGCTGAAAATTCATCTTTAAATCACTAGAATAAATGATTAAATTAAATAATAAACTACATTTGAACAGTTATTTTATAGTGCAATAACATTTCACAGTTTTACAATTTGTACTGTATTTTTGATGAAATAAATGCAGCCTTGGTGAGTAGGAGAAGCTTATTTTAAAACATTTAAAAATCACACAGAGCCCCAAACTTTTGACCGATAGTGTAGCTGCCAACACTCCCATATTCACGGGAATCTCTAGTTATTCACACCCTTCTCCTGCCATCCTCCTGTTTCGTTATTTCTTTCAGGAAACTCCTGTTATTTTTACTGCCCAAACTAGTTACGAAAAATCATCTTTTGGCCATGTTTGCCAAGTTGCCAGATCTTGTATGAAGCTCATCACCTCACACAGTTGACAAAATTTTCAGATCTCAAGGCATTTTTTACCTCAATCTGGCAACATGCATTATAATCCAATTACACTGTTGATTTCTGTGCAGGTAAATGCAGAATGGCAGTGGTAGCAACGTCAGTAGTAGTAGTAGATAATTACAGGTTTTTAAATAGTTGTATCTAGGCCAAATATTGTTTGATCCTGACAAAGTATAACCCACTGGAAAGCTTATATATTCATACTTCAGATGTGTTTGAACCTCAGTTGCCAGAAATTGACACTTATGGGTGGTTTTGTGGTACCAGGCTCACATCTAATAGTTAATGTGATTCAGTGGTTTAGATAGAATAAAATGTGAGCTGTCAAACACCTCAAGTATCAAGTGGTATATGAGACACTTTCCATGAACAACAGCCTTAGACTGAAATGTTTAAACAAACTACACAAAATTTCAAACAAATATAGTTTGATAAACATTCAGCTTAATTGTTAATGTTTGATTTATTATATTTTTGATAAGTGACATATTGCTGTTGATAACTGTTCATATGTGTCTCTACATCTTTTCAACCCTAAGTACTGTGATTTTTATAAGAACAAGCAAGAATTTATAAACAAATTACAGGAAATAAACCTTTTTTAAACTTTTATTTTAGAGCTGGTGGAGGAGTTTGAGGAGAAAGGACAGAGGAAAGGGGCGGGGAAAATCATCATGTCAAAAGAAAAATCTTCAAGCTGCTTTTTTGATGAAAAAAAGTATTTTTTTTACTGATAGTAGCAATAACAAAATCCTCTACTCTCAGTATGGCGAGCCCCAGTATACGTCATCGCTGTCCCTTCATCCTTGTACAGCAGCAGTTTTTTTTCTGGATGATAAACTTATTTATCCACGGTTACTGAAAAGTTGAGTACAATCATGAAAACACTCGAGCACTTTTAAGGAAATGTATGTCTTCACAACCATACCTTGTATTTTCTGACAACGGCAAAACAAGTAGAAACAGTATGAAGCTGCTTCCTATTTATTTATTTATTTATTTTGCATTCCACCTGGCTGCCTGACTGTTTTTTACATTGAGCTTTCACATGAAATTTTCTCATTAAAACTTTATAATAAGAATAATTACTTGGTTTCTGTTTGTAATGAGACAGTTTTTGTTGTAATGAAAGTGTGCATGTGTGTGTTTAAATTCTTTTAATTTTCCTCCTGGTGTCAGTTTAAAAAAAAAAAAAAAAAAATTGAGATTGACACAAAACTTGAACGCCAAGTAAATCAGCTTCCACTGATGTATGGCTTGTCAAAAATAGACAAAATTTGCCAGAGATACAATTATTTAAAAATATGGAATCTATGAGTTTAAAAAAAATCTAAATACTGAGAAAATCACATTTAAATTGTCTAAATGAAGTGCTCATTGATGCACATTTTACTTATCTAAAATAGGGTTTGGATATATGTACAGTAGAAAAGTTAAAAATATCCAACTGGAACCGGATCTTTATCTAATGTTCTAATGATTTTTTGGCTTAAAAAAATATTTTTTTTTGTGTTCCAGAATCACAATTCGTTCAATCTTTTGCAATTATAACAATTCATAGAACACATAACAAAATTAAACATAATGAAAATTATAAAGCCTATTTTTACATTCAGTTAAAAAGTGGACAAAGGTGGAGTTTAAACCATTTCAATATTGAGGTAAAGTTGGTTTTATATTCACATTCATATCTACTTCCTCAATATTATTTCTGAAAAGTGTTATTTGCAAATTCTTAATAGTGAAATCATATTAGCAGCCAATGACTATCAGTGCAACATTGTTCACAGTGCTAAAGTTGTTTTCAACTCATACTTGCATGGTATTTCAGACCAAATAGTCAAAGTACCATGGTAAACAATATAGGGAGCATGTCACAATATGTCCCTGAACAAATGTGCGAATATAAAACCAACATTACGTCAATCATTCAATGTGGTGATGTCACTGCCCCCCCCCCCCCCCCCCAAAAAAAAAACAAAAAACAAAAAAAAACTTGCTTGTCAAACTATTTCATATCTGTAACAAAAGGAAATTCAATCATAACAACTTTAAATAGCTATCACAACATTATTTAACAATATGTGGATCTTTTTTTATTTTGTATTCTTGGAAGCTATGGAAGTTAAAAATGAAAACAGTATATGCGTTAGGAACATTACTATTATTGTTTACATTCTTCAAAATGGTTTAAGAAAGTGTTTCATCTACCTAAATTTAAGAGAAAAGTCACTTCGCACTACGTGACAGCAGGTGGCAGTGTGCACTCTATAAAGGATTACTAGCAACCTTTTCAGAGAAGAAGACGTAACCGCTAGCATCAGCAGTTTACATTATGCAAGGGTAAGAAGTTAGCCGTGGTATTTTTTGTGTAAACTTTGTATTTTACAATTATAAAAACACCGTTTATTAAAGCAATTACACCTCGTTATTTCTATGTTGTTTCCACCTGGAAGAGTGCCGTTATGCATCTATGCTGACTAAAATAATTGTATTATTTATTCTTATTATTTAGATATTTAAAGCAATAGTTGTGTATTTTCCGAATGTATCTTGTAATAATTGAAATGTGTAAGATGTCAATCACAAGATCTTGTGATTGACATCTTACACATTTCAATTATTACAAGGTAATCTGTGGCGAAGGTTTGATAGTAGAATAATTAAAATATAGCTTTTTTTAATCTCTGATTAAAATTATATGTATATTAGTTATTTATTTCTTTGATAAATGAAGTGGTCCCATTATTCTGAAATTACAAGAATGGGGGAAAAGATGTAAAAATAGATTTTGATTTTGACTTCTCTTATCCCACAGTATTTGGCATTAGTGAAGCTCCATTCACTGCTGTAAAACAACAAATGCTGGAATGTTTTCATCAGCTTACACATAAAGAAAATTAGAGAACACCGAAAAAACATCGAAAACATGAATGAACCCTGCAGTATAAAACTAGAAGAGACCGAACAACAAATAGGTATGTGTTTTTTCTTGCTTTCCTCAAAATGATTCTTCAGAAATGCTGGTTGCAGACAGAAACAAAGTTGTCTTATTAATGTTAAAACTCTTTAATCTAAAATGCAATGACATAGTGTGGAAGAAAAACGTTCAATAATAATAATAATAATAATAATCTTCATGTGGTATGACTCACTTAAAGAATATTTAAAGTAAATAATAAGTTATGAGATTTAACAATTAAGCTTTTATGGACACTGTTGTTGTATGTATATTGTCACTAGTTGCTTAATTTAAAATGTTGCTTTAAATTAAATTAAACTCACCTTTCTTTGTATAGCGCTTTTACAATGTAAATTGTGTCAAAGCAGCTTCACATAGAATATTATAGTAAATTGAAACAGTGTGTGTGTGTTCAGTTTTCAGAGTTAAAGTTCAGATCAGTTTAGCTCCGTTCAGTGTGGTTTAATATTCAAACACTGAGGAGCAAATCCATCGATGCGCAGCTCTACGGGTCCTGAATCATGCAAGCCAGTGGGACAGTGGCCACTGCTAAAAAGCTAAAAATATATCCTAATTTGGTAATACATTCATTCATTCATTTTCTTGTCAGCTTAGTCCCTTTATTAATCCGGGGTCGTCACAGCGGAATGAACCGCCAACTTATCCAGCAAGATTTTACGCAGCGGATGCCCTTCCATCTACAACCCATCTCTGGGAAACTAATTTGGTAATAACTTAACATGAATTATAAAACCAAATGGAGCTATTACTTTTGGATTATATCAAACTTGAGAAAATTTAAGAAACATTCTCATTGATAGAACATTTACAATAATTGAGCATCTCAGACTAGATATTTCTGAGCTTTTTAATTTACATTTATCTTCATCTGGTTAATGGTTCTATGTTACAAAAATTTTGATGCTTCATTCCTGTTTATGTTGGAAATTTATTGTAACAATTATTAGGGCTGGGAGAATTGGCCTAAAATCAGAAATTAGATTAATTGAACATTTTAACTTTCCACAAAACAATCAATGATTATTTTAATGATTATTTTTGTCCTTATAGTTCAAGTTTTGTACAGTAAATATACTCACAAATTACAAGTAAGAGAAGGGTGCATTACTTGATTTCAAAATATTTAAAGGAGACTCACACTATCTATTATCTAAGATTATTTATTAAACATCAACACTGAACACCTGAAATTAAAACACACTCTGCCTAATACCAACAATCACATGTGAGTAACTTGCGCTTTTGGAAACAAAATATATACATATTTTTTATATTAAAAGTAGAAAATAAGCAGTATATCTTCTAAATAAAATAACTCTAGTATATCATCTAAATAATATTTTAAACCGTGAATTTCTTGAATTCTGTAAACAAAAATATTAAATTAAGTAATAATTTTATTGAAATTGAAATATGCTATCTCAAGGCATCTCCAATCATCTTCATATTGCAAACATGAGACGTGTTGTTACATTTTTTGAGAGGTGCATGCAAAGGCTGCATCGAACCAAACCTGTGTGTTTGACGCAGAATTTTACATCTTAACAGAGCGAGGTCACGTGACTCCACAGACAGTAGGGAAAGTAATTGAAAAAATTTACCTGAAAATATTTGATTGATTATAGGTTCTGAATGTCGATTAATACTTTCTGATTAATCGCCCAGCCCTAATTATTATTATTACTATTAATATAATGGGAAAAATATTCAAGTTTTAAGAAATAATTTTAGTACTTTTAAACTGTTTATTATTTAATAGTTCTCACTACAAAACATGTAATTTGTACATGTAAAGTGAAACAAATAACTGGTTGGTTAATGTATCCAATTGAATGCAGTGAAAGTATCTAAACTTTTATTTACATTTGTCAGTCACGATTTTTGGATTTATTTATCGTAAATGACTTAACGAAAATCCCTTTTTCATCCTCTTTAACATTTTAGACCCGTTGAAAGACGATGAGAAGATTGAAGAACTGATTAAATCAGAGAAGGACCATACTGACGTTAAAACCGAGGAGAAATCCTCTTTGCAAAGTACAGCAAAGATATCCTTCACCTGTCCTCAGTGTGGAAAAACTTTCCCATGCGAGCAAAATCTCAATCTTCACATGAAATTTCACAGGGGAGCGAAGCCGTTTGCGTGCGATAAGTGCGAGAAGATCTTCACACTAAAAGCAAACCTTAACGAACACATGAAAACCCACACGGCTGTACAGATGCCGTTCACATGCGTTCAATGCAGGAAGATTTTCATGCTGAAAGAAAGCCTCTCCGAACACATGAAAATACACACTAAGGAAAAGCCGTACACATGTGATGAGTGCGGGAGGAAGTTTAAACACAAGGGCACTCTTACTGAACACAGAAAAATCCACACCGGAGAGAAGCCGTATGAATGCGAGAAGTGCGGGAAGAAGTTTAGGCATAAAGGAAACTTTAACGATCACGTGAAAAACCACACACGAATCAAACCCTTCTCTTGTGATCAGTGCGGGAAGTGTTTCAGACTCAAAGATAACTTCGATGACCACATGAAAGTCCACACCGGAGGGAATCCACATACGTGTGCTCAATGCGGGAAGACGTTCAAACAGAAACATGTTCTCAATGAACACCTGATAATCCACACCGGAGAAAAGCCTTTCACGTGCGAACAGTGCGGGACGAGTTTCACAAGAAAACGCAACCTTGCTGATCACATGACAATCCACACTGGAGAAAACCTGTATGCTTGTGATCAGTGTGGGAGGAGTTTCAGACAGTCGAGAGTGTTAAAAGAGCATTTGCGGACTCATTCTAGCGAAAGACCGTTTAACTGTGACCAGTGCGGTAAGAAGTTCTTCAAGGCGGACGCCCTGAAGGAGCACCTGACAGTTCACACACAGGAGAAGCCGTATGTGTGCTCTTTCTGTGCAAAGGCTTTCAGGCTGATTGGTAATTTGAAAATACACGAGAAAACACACACCGGTCAAAGGAATCACATTTGCTCTGAATGCGGGAAGACTTTTTTTACTGTGTCCGCACTGACTCTGCACACCAGAGTTCACACTGTTGGAAAACCGTATAAATGTTCACACTGTGACAAGACGTTTAAACGGCCGGAATGTCTGAAAATACATTATAGGGTTCACACTGGAGAGAGGCCATATCACTGTCGCTCATGTGGGAAGAGGTTCATTTATTTGTCTAATCTGCATCAGCATTTGAAAGCAGCAAAGTGTAAGAAAACACAATAGCTCTGTCTCATTTCAGAGGATGCATCCTTCGAAGGATGCATTCGAAGTGCGCTCATTTCTAAAAAAATTCAAAGGCTCCTTTAAACGCAGCCTCCAAATGCATCCTTAGTTTCCCAGATAATGGACACAACCGGTGGATCCTTCTCCTGTCCCAAGATTCCAATATGCTGTCAAACTGAAATCAAAAAGAGGTAACCCAACCAATTGTATGAAGACAGACCCAACTATATCAGTCCTTTTGGAATTCGTATGAAACCCCACCTGAAGAATATGGGTGTTACTATGGAAAAGCTTTCACACTCCTTGGTGCAACTCAAAAATAAGAATCTTATGGAACTTAACAAAACAGAAGAAGTTCTCCACTCACCCAAATGAATACAAACAAGAAGTCAAACAAATAACAGACAGTCTCCCTCATCATGAAACCATATATACAGATGGATCGAAAACAGATAAAGGAGTAACAGCAGCAGTAGTGTTTAAATATGATGTCTTTGGTACTCAGATTTCAGGAGAAAGTTCAATTTACACAGCAGAAGCGTAGCAATAAATATGGCTTTATAACAAATGGACAGGACACAGCATCATAACTTTTTAATCTGCACAGATTCCCAAATTCGGTCTTCCAGCACTCAAAGCTTCTAAGTGTGATCACCACATAATGTCCATGATTGTAAAGAAAATGAAAACACTGTAAAGTCAGAAGTTCAACATTATCTTCTGTTGGATTTCAGGTCATATGTGACTACATGGAATGATGGCAGATGAAGCAGCAAAACAGGCTATCTCCTTGAATGTGACCGAATGTTTAATTCCTCCTGAGGACTTGAAACCCACTATCAATTTGTACATAAACAAAGCATGGCAAAGGGAATGGGACAACTGAAAAAATAATAATTTACATGAAATTAACCCAAAAATAAATAAAAAACATTTAGCAAATTATCATTTTGAGACCAGGCATGATCAGATGGTCGGTTGACACATTTATATTTACTGAATAATGAAGAATCACCTATATGTAATTTCTGCCAGGCTGATCTTACCATCAAACATATTTCTTTGGAATGTAGAAGTTTAAATTCCATTTGACAATTTAAGGAGAGTACTTTGATGGACATTTTTAAAAATGTACCACCAGGAAGAGTTTTAAATTATTCATCAAAAATTAAACTGAAAAATCATATTTAACTTTGAATACATTTTTGATTATAAATCATTGACTTCTGCTGTCTTTGTTAGTTTTAAAAACACTGATTTCTACACATCTTGTAAATGCGTTTTTGCATATCTTTCTTTTCTTGGCATATAGAGTAAGCCACTGCACTGTTCTGGTCTATAGCATGCTTGGATGTTGATGCATAAATTACTTGTTTTTCAGATGTTTAATGAATTGTGGACTTATCAGGAGCTTTTGATTGTAGTGGGTTCTTTTCTGCTAGAAGAGAAAAAAAGTATAAAAAAATTGTTGCAAATTAACACATTAAAATCGTACAGGAATGGTATAACAAAAAACTTTAGCGGTTTTAAAACCTTGACTTTTCCAAACTGGTAAACCTTAAAAAACTGTTATGGTCCCATGCCTGGCTCAGTTACTGGTCCAAAAAAAAAAAAAAAAAAAAAAAAAAAAAAATGAAAAGCAGTTACTTTATCTAATTTGTTGTCATTTGTTGATGTGTAGCATATGAAATGTGTAAATATGATACCTATTGTAATTTCTATTTATTCATCTCAATCATATAAAAACAGATATTTAATTAATTTTAATCGTACAATTTTTAATGGAGCTCTGAAAATTTGTTTTGATCTGAGCTTCAACTTTACAGATTTAACATTTCCTTAAGACAGAGGTTTTCCACTTTTTCTGTAAAAGAGTTGTAAATGTTTCAAAAATATATGCGTTTATATATTTTAGCAAGTAAGCCCATCATGTATGAAAAAAGTGACTTTCCTTTATGCCATACTTTATTTTTTAAAAGAAATGTCACAAGATTGTAATATTTTTAAAAGTAACTTTCCCCAACACTAATAAACTTTAACATATATTAAACTCTTCTTATTGTTATCAGTACCAAGGCTCCACAATCTGTTTATAGAGAAATTGAAGAAAAAGCACTTAAGATGTACGAGTTTTTTGTTTGTTTGTTTTCTATTCTTGTAGATATGAATTCACAGTAACATAAAATTAAACTATTAAGAAGACACTTAATAACTGTAAATAAATTTAAAGAGCTTCATATGAACTCAAAATGCATTGTTTCTGTCATTTATCTACACATGAAATAAAAATAAAATATATTATTTTCATAAAGTGAACCGTGTCAGCTTCACACTTGCGTTATAAAGAATAATTCTGTCCGATCAAATCAGTCAATCTCACATCAGGTGATATAATTCTGTGTTTATGTTGAAAATTTCCTTTTTACCAATATGTCAAGTTATCTGCCCGATAAATTAATATTAGTATATTTATATTAAATTCAGTTGACTGTTATAACAGAATAAACCAAAAAGACTGTGATCAGGGTTTTACATCACTTTGACAGGATTTATTTTGCGATAACAACTGCTTATTACAAAGCTATACTAATAATTATAATATTTATTTACATTTTCTAAAAACCTTTGTATGAGATTTGATTATTTACTAAAAGATATATTTCAAAATACATATTGATTATTATAAGTTTAAGAAGTTTAAATGTCAAAATGTAGACAAGACAAAAACAGTAAGATCGATTAAGTGGTCAGTAGGTATGTTTTTCTAAAGCTATAGTGGTAATTGTTTTTATGCCTGTGCTAAACCGCAATTTCTTGAAAACCACAATTTATTTGTTAAACTATTAAAGCAAAGGTTTGAAAAAAGTTAGCAGTTGGAAAAATAAGGATAAGAGATTTAAAACTTTTTTTATGTTTCATTTTTCCCCCGCATGGGAAAAACTACAGTAAATATCCTCTATGTACAATGGTATTTATGTAGTATGGATGAATATTTGTCTCACATTGTGAAAGAAACAACAGTTTTGAGAATATGCTTTTACACTTTCAACATCCAGTTTATGTTCCAACCAAGCAGATCAAATGAAGATAGCTGATCATCCTGGAGACGGACTACTTTGCAAGACGGTGCGAGATACCTCAGGTTATTTGATCTCATCGCAAAGGACAACACAACCACAGTAAACGAACATAACCTCGTTCACCTTTGTTCTTTCTCCCCCTCTTTCTTCCCTTCAAACATTCTCCTCTCCACCAAGATCACTCAGAAAGATCATTACTGATTACTAAGTTCTGTGTCACTGCAATTGATGTCTGGTATCATTTGAAATATTTCAGCGTGACTTGTGTTGCGTACTCATCACCTCAGATATAGGTTAATAAGGATAACAACAACAGAGATTTGTGAAAGCCACTGCAGGGGGGGTGTCTTCTTTTAGGGTTGTTCATTTAAATGACCTCCTGTTTCCCACAGGCTCTCCAGATCCACTGATCAACCTCAATGCAAATGCCCATTGTTATTCTGAGTGTCAACACTTGTGGGATAATCTGTCTGGCTCTTTAAGGAAAGTGTAAATGGCTCAGGGTGATTCTGTTGTCAGATCATCAGCTCGTCGGGTGGAGTACACTTTCTGAATGTTCAGGGTTCCCACTTGTCCTGGAAAACAGCGAAATTTAGAGCAGTATTTCCCAACCCTGTTCATTGAGGCACAACAGTACAAATTTGGGATGTCTCCCTTATCTGACCCATTAACTTCAGGTTTTGGAGTCTCTTCCTAGTTTTGCTGAGTTGATTAAGGTGTGTTTGATTACGGAGAGGTTGGAAATACTGTTTATGTGCCTTTAGGAACAATGTTTGGGAAATACTGATTTGGATGTTTGTTTTCTGGTGACGGAAATTATTGATTAAAAATGACCCAATTGTCCTGGAAAAAATCCTTTATCCTGGATTTCTTCCTGAATTTTGAAGTTTATAACAACTAACTATTTGTAAGGCTAGATATGATGACAGACCTCTATTGTGCAATGGCAATATGATCCTCATTTTTGACCAACTCCTTTTACAAAGTACATGAAAAAGCTTATGGAAATGTCCCAGAATTATCCTGGAAAATTATTTCTTAAAGAGAGTGGAAATCCTGATCTTAAACTCTTTTGTGGTTAAACTCTATTATTAAAACAATTTTAAGTTTACTTCTTCATATAAACAACGTAATGAGAAATTTGATAAATAACAAAACCATCAATTTAGTACATGACTTCTGTTTTACTTGTATATGAAGATCTGCTCTTTCTGCCTCAGTGAAGCTCCTCCCACAGCAGTGAAGCTCCTCCCACAACACTTAATCTTCAGCGAAAGTCCTCCCACAGCAATTCACCAATACCTGCTGTATAATCCCCATCAGTCTTCAAGTGAAGGAGTCAAAAGGAACAGCGAGGACATGAGCGATCCACAACATTGCAGAATGGAGCAGGAAGATGCTGAAGAACAGAGAGGTCAGTGATTATTCTGTCTTAAAGAACAATATTGAATATCAACGCCATAAGACTTATAGCTGTTTTTGTAGGTGTAGTTAAAGGTGATTTTTAGCATTAAATCAACTTGAGCTGTTTTATTTGCTTTGATTTCATGTGTGATTTATAGGTTTACTAAACTTCAGAATTTTTTAAAATGGGGCTAAATTTGAATTTGCCTTTTTCTAGCAAGCAGGGTATCAGACTAAACAAAACCTGGTGTATAGTTACTGAAAAGCTTTTCTTTTCTCTTAAATTGTGGACATTCATTGAAATTAGAGTTTGGTAATAACTGGTAACAGTCTTGCTGAATGCAGTTAACTAACTACATGTGTGAAAACCATTTATAAACAGTTTCAGTAAAATGTAACATTTAAAAAATATCTAAGACATCTCTTATCTGTAGTTATATTTGTGTTACTTTCTGAACTTATGTTTACAATAGGGCTTGTTAACCTCTGTGAATTTGGACCCCAACCAAACACAAAACTAAATAGTCTCATTAGTTTGTGCTGTGAAAATATTCATTTGTGCTGTTTAGGTTTTTGAGATCTTAATATTTGTAGGTCATTAAATTTGGAGCATGTTGGGGAGCTGGTGACGTCGCTAGGCTCACATGGAATCCGCAAATTTTTAGCCCATCATTGAGTCTTTTTTTTTTACTTGTGCAAATTTATATTTATTCAGTTTTTAAATTAACATCAGCAATATTATTGACTTATAAAAACGTGTTCATTTGATTTAATTACAATACAGTTTGTAAAGTAATATGTTCTGTCTTTTAGTTGATTTATTATATGATAGGCTTGCTTTGTTTATCAAAAAAGTGGATCTTGATGGGTTTGCATTGTAAACAATAAATAAGAGTTAAAAGGCTACTTTTTTCCATTTCATAAGTTTTTAGTTACGATAATCCCAAAATAATTCCACAGATTTTTTTTTTTACAAAATTCTCAGCAGAAATAACAAAAAATTTCCCAAATAGCAAAAAACGCCCATAATTTAATGTAAAATATTTTAATAGCACACACAAACAGCACAAACGGAACTTTCACTGGCACAAACGAACGTGAGTATTTAGGGGGGAATTTGAAGCATGTGGTGATGCTGTGTGACTGCTGAATAATCTATAAATATTATTTCAATATCTCAAAAACCAAAATAGCACAAACAAATATTTTTGCAGCAAAATATTTTTGGGTGGGGGGCCAACTTTAACTTCACATAGGTGGCATGTTAACATGTTTTACCTGCATTATCACATTAATTAAATAATGCAGACAATTATTTTATTGCGTGTTATCATCATTTTTATTAATACTAAGCACTTTTTAATGGCTCATAAGAGAAAAACTGTTGTAACTGCTGTAAAAACACCTCAGTTGTTTAGTGTTATTGCACTTTTGTGCATTCAGACTGTTTAAAATGAAAGTGGGCAACACACTAATTTTGAATTCATTGTTGAAATATGTGTATTGCAATAAAATGCCCATGCAGTGCCCTGCAATAAGACAATAAAACCTCTGAAATCTGAAAAAGGTGAGAATGTGCTCAGAATAGCCTGAGACATTCCTGACCTTATCTTCCCCTCTGGTATTGATCAATTCAATTAGCACTTTTACAATGCAGATTGTGTCAAAGCTACCATTATTTCTCTGGCCAAACTTCCTGTGTGAAGCTGCAGTCTAGGTGCCTGATTTAAATAAGGTGTGATTGGTAACAAGTTTTTGTTCCCTCTCTTTGAATAATCTTTGATTTAATCCCACACAGATGAGTAGCTCCTTAAATCACTGGTTAACCTAACAAAAAAAAATCATTCATTGATGATCTAAGGTATTTAGGGCGTACTCACACTGCTATCTGAACCATGCCCAGGCCCATTTTCCGAATCATTTGAGAAGTGTGAGTGCTCTGAATCGGGCTCAGGGGCAGTTTACTTGGCCCAATTGGAAGAGGTGTGCCAGAGCGTGGTTCACTTAAGCACGAAACTGAAGACAAGACGTGACTTTTAGAAAAAATGTCTCAGGGCACGAGTCTGTATTCAGACCAATGTATAATTTGGACTTGACTATCAATCTGTATACTCTTACATAGTGTTAGAATCATCTGTGAGTTTTTGACGTTGTATATTTCTGAATTGGGTTTTATTGATTGATTCTGTAATTGGCATGATACACTTTTACTTGGAAAATAAAGTGTTAATATTTGATTCATTCTGGATTCTCTTGAAATCATTATATTCTAGACGCAGTTTTTCAAAAATAATCCAGTGGGATTTTGGATCACAGATTGGATCAAATCTTTGAAATGAGTTTTTCAAAAGTAGGGTTTTGAGTTAAGATTAGACCATGTAATCCAATCTTTCATTTGATTTGGACTAAACCTGCCTTTTGCGTTCTTCAAAACTTTGAACTCAGATTGGGATCTATGTGATCTAACAAACAGGATTATCATGATCCAATCAGAAGGGTAGATTCAGTTTGAATGGTCAGTGAATGGTCACAAAATTAATGGTCACTGATGATATATAAATTCCTTCATATTTGAAGCCTACAGTATATGAAGCATGTCACTTCTAATGGAATAGCAACAACAAAACAATATCAAAGCAGTATTGTATTAGAAAAACCTAAAACATGCAAAATGTTTGTTGATTATAGAGTTTCTGTTTCTTACTATTAAAGCAAACAATAGCCCCTTTCACACAGTGATACCGGTAAATATCTGGAAAATTTCCGGAACGACTTTACTGGTAAATTCAAAAAACTGCTGTTCACACAGGCGAGGACGTTACGGAAATTTTCAGGAAAAGAGCACACACATCCATTCCAAAATACCAGTAAATTCTGACATCATTCACCACAAATGAGCTTTAAATGGCTGCGCTTGTATTTGTAAACATTTGACTAAATTACACACTCTGTGGATGATCAATATTGTGAACAACTTTCGCGCTTATTCCAGCAATCTTCCTTCTGCATTCACACAGCGCAGCATTCCGGCAAATTGCCGGTAATGTTACAACTTCTCTTTCCGGAAAATAGCCAGAATGAATTTACCGGTATTTTCAAAAAGGACCTGTTCACACATACGACCTTTCCGGAAAATTGCCGGTAATTTTCTGGAAAGGTCTGTATGTGTGAAAGGGGCTATTGGCTGTTTGTGGCCACTGGTATTTTTTATTTTTTTATTTTATTTATTTTTTTGGCCTACCTTTTTTCTTTGCTAAGCCAGTAGGCTACACTGTTGGTTCCATTTAATGCTCTGGTAAACAGGATTTGGTAATCCTAAAATGTGGTATTTGTATCACAGTGATCCAACCCAATGTTCCTTTAAAACACCATAAACGTAAGATAGATCATATAGCAAAACATGGGATTTTCAAATCTGGACCAATTTGATCCAGGTTAAAGCGTTTGAAAAACTCGGCCCTGTAGATTATGAAAACTCCTGAGCGTATAACTGAAAAGCATGAGATCAGATATAAATCAAAACTCTTAATTGATTCATATGAACAACAAATGTGATCCAATAATAATTTTGAATACAAATTGTAAATTTGACGGTCACTTAAATTTGGAATCAGATTAAATTCGGAGCTGTAAACAAAAATTTAAATAAATTTTAATAAATAAGATAATTGCTTTCAGAAGTGAAAGAAAATGCATTTAATCTTCGACCATTTATCAGATATCATCGTTGGGCTAATAGATTGGAACAGTTAACCAACCACAGGTTATGTAGAAAGATGTTGGGGATTCACTTTTAAGTAGTAAGATCATTTATGGAAAGTTTCAGTAAACTGTAACGGAATTTTAAAAATGTCGCTGATGTCTTATGTCATTTGTGCTTTCTGAACCTAAAATAGGGCTGGGCAAGTTAACATGCATTAACACATTAATTTATGCAAGTAATTGTTTTATTGTATGTAAATGCATTTTGAATAATATTTAGATCTTTGTAATGGTTCATAAGAGAAAAACTGTTGTTAAAGCATCAGTTGTTTAAAGTGTTATTCATGTGTTTTCAATTTCTTAAGGTTCCTTTTACAGCAGAGCAACATGTAATTCAAATATAATCAGTTACATAGAATTAAATATTTGCTTGTTGGCTAGCGCAGAAATTCCATTAAAAATATTGGGATAAAATTAATTTCCATATTTTAAAAACATGGCATGAAAAAAATATAATTTAATGCCGTGCTTCTTTTTTGGTCTGATGCCTACTTTATATCGTATCTCAGCCAGGCAGTGAAGATCACTGGTTTTTAAGGAAATCAGATCTTAAGCGTGGCAATTTTGTATGGATGTGATCCTCTCGAAATTAGCTTATAAATAAACTTCACTTAATTGTTGAAATATGTGTATGAGATTGCAATAAAATGCCCAGCTCTAGCTTAAAACATTTAGTTTAGCACTACTTTAAAACATCAGTTTAGAACAGTGTTTCTCAACCACATTCCTGGGGGAGCACTAGCTCTGCACATTTTCTATGTCGCCTTAACGAAACACACCTGAATCAGATCATCAGCTCATTAGTAGAGACTGAAAGACCTGAAATGGGTGAAGCTGCGGTCACACTAGAGTTTGAGCTAGCAAAATTCTGTCGTATAGCACTGTAAAAAGGGGCGGGATCAAACAAGATGATTAGACTTTTTCAAAAGCGAGCGATTGGTCCATGTTTTTAATTTCTGTCCAGAGTGGTCATGCTTTTCATCCTCGATTGGTCTCTCGCAGTCAAATGATGTGATTTCGCAGGTCAGAGTTCACCAAGATTAAACTTTGCACCGCATCGAACTGCGAAACTTCCTGCACAAGCTTGCGTTTGCGGTCTGATGCATTAACGTGCCAATGAATGGAAGTCAATGGGGAGAAAAGTGCAGTGTGACCGCAGCTTGAGACAAAGGAGACATCCAAAACATGCAGTGTTGGTGGTCCTCCACAGTGGCAAATTTAGTCATAGGCAATGTGGGCAATCGCCCAGGCCAACATGGAGAGTGGCATGGCCAACGCTTGCCTAGAGCGCCAGTTAAGCTTGTGCCACTACTGGTCCTCCAGGAACATGGTTGAGAAACACTGGTTTAGAAAATCTGTCTGGTAAACTTGGGTTTTAGAAAAACTGATGGATTAAAATCAAATGTTTTTTTCTTCCTTTTCAGAGCTGATGGAAGAGAACAATGACAAACAGACAGAAGCTGAGGAAAATCATCCCATCAAAGATGGAGGAAAATCTTCCCCACAAGCTGAAAGTAATGCTATATTAACAAGAAGAGCCAAGCCTGTCACAAGTCACAAGTCTCAGACTGGAAAGAGATTCTCATTCAAACCAAGTTTTAAGCAACACAGAAGAGTTCGTGGTCGAGGGAATGAGTGTGGAAAGAGTTTCTCACAAAAGAGTCAAACCCTCCCTGGAGAGAAGCCGCACACTTGTGAGCAATGCGGGAAGAGTTTCACAACAAAAGATACGCTTATAAGACACAAGACGATCCACACTGGAGAGAAACTGCACACGTGTGATCAGTGCGGGAAGAGTTTTAGAGAAAAACGTAATTTACGTAACCACATGAAGACCCACACAGAAGAGAAACCGCATGAATGCGATCAATGCGGGAAGTGTTTTAGAAACAAAGTATCCCTTGATGAACACAGGAACGTCCACACCAGAGAGAACCTGCACACGTGTGATCAGTGCGGGAAGAGTTTCATAAATAAATTATCGTTTAAGAGACACATGGAAATCCACACCGGAGCGAAAACGCATGTATGTGATCAGTGCGGGAAGAGTTTCACACACAAAGGAACGTATGATAGACACATGAGAATCCACACCGGAGAGAAGCCGTACACGTGTGATCAGTGCGGGAAGAGTTTTAGGCAAAACCTTGGTCGTCACATGAAAATCCACTATGGAGATCAGCGTGGGGTGAGCTTTGCACAAAAACAACCTCGTAAATGTCGTACTAAAATCCACGCTGAAAAGAAACTGCACACATGTGATCAGTGCGGGAAGAGTTTTGCACAAAAATGTCGATTCAGGGAACATATGAATATCCATACAGGAGAGAAACCGTTCACATGTGATCAGTGCGGGAAGAAGTTTTATGGAAAACAAAATCTCAAGAAACACATGAATATCCATACAGGAGAGAAACCATTCACATGTGATCAGTGCGACAGGAGGTTTGATGGAAAACGAAAACTCGACAAACATATGAATATCCATACAGGAGAGAAACCGTACACTTGTGATCAGTGCGGGAAGAGTTTTATCAGCAAACAAACCCTTAAAGCACACAATATAATCCACACTGGAGAGAAGCCGCACGCATGCGGTCAGTGTGGGAAGAGTTTTCCGTACAAACAAAGTCTTATCGCACACATGAATATCCACACTGGAGAGAAGCCGTACGCGTGCGTTCAGTGTGGGAGGAGCTTTAGACAAAAAGGAGCCCTTCATGTGCACATGAAAAGGCACACCGGAGAGAAGCCGCACACATGTGATCACTGCGAGAAGAGATTTGTATATAAATCTCAATTGAGTCAACACATGAACATCCACACAAGAGAGAAACTGTATGCATGTATTCAGTGTGAGAAGAGTTTCACACTAAAAAAAAACCTTCTCTGTCACATCAAAACACACACTGGAGAGAATCTGCACACGTGTGACCAGTGCGGGAAGAAGTTCTTACTAAAGCTTTCCCTTATTAATCATCAGTGCGGGATGACTTTAGCAATGACGTCGGGACTGGAATGTCACACGGCAATCCACACCGTAGAGAAGCCATTCACTTGTGATTTTTGCAAGAAGACATTCGCAGCACAATCAGTCCTTAAGGAGCACAGGATGGTCCACACAGGAGAGAAGCCGCACACGTGCGATCAGTGCGGGAGGAGTTTTCGCGTCAAACAAACCCTTCAAGACCACATGAAAATCCACACTGGTGAGAAGCCGCACGCGTGCGATCAGTGCGGGAAGAGTTTTCGCTTGAAACAATTCCTTCAAGACCACATGAAAATCCACACCGGCGAGAAGACGCACTCGTGTGATCAGTGCGGGAGGAGTTTCAGACAGGCTGTTAGTCTCAGATTGCATTTGCGCGTTCATTCCGGAGAAAGACCATTTCACTGTCATCACTGTGGAAAATCCTATGTTTCATCATCACACCTGACGACCCACCTGAGAGTTCACACGAAGGAGAAGCCTTACGCGTGCTCTTTGTGTGACAAGAGGTTTCGCCTGACGTACGCTTTAAAAGTACACCAGAGGAGGCACAGCGGTGTGAAGAATTATATGTGCTTTGATTGTGAGATGTCGTTTTTCAGTGCGTCCGAACTGTGGAAGCATCAGAAGGTTCACACTGTGGGAAAAGCGTACAAGTGTTCACACTGTGATAAAAGATTCAGTCAAAATAGTAGTCTGAAGAATCATGAAAACAGGATTCACAATAAAGAGAAAGAGCAGAGCGTCTAAACATAGTCGTCATGGCTAAAACGTGGCTAAATTTGGGCGGTCAGTGAAAATCTAATACACAAAAATATGAACTTTCTCTATTGTTAGTTTTACTAGACCCACGCCTGTTCACATTACATAAAACTAATGGGGGGCAATGGAGGTAGCGGTGTGCGAATTGAAAAGCGGGGAGCGGGTATGGGGATAGTTGCGTGTTGGGTTTGGTGCGCATGGGAGTCGTACCAAAAAGTTGAAGAGTGGGGGGGTCTGGGTGGAATTCCGGTAGTTTTTCGAAAGACAGAACAATATGGAAGATGGGTCTGAAATACGGGAGACTCCCGGGAAAAACAGAAGTTTTGGCAGGTATAATATAAGGGGATCCAAGATCAGTTAGGTCTCAAGAGCCTCTCTTAGAAAAGGAGGAGATGGGGTGGAAGGGGGGATTCGTCCACAACGACGATAGCAGTAGGAAGAAAACGATCCATTTAAAGTAAGCTTGGATTACTCTGATTGGATTATTACTGATTACAGAGGAGAAGCCAGTCATGCTCGATCATATCACGTGCTCCTCTCGAACTTTGTTTGTAAAACTTCACTTAAAGTATTTCTGCAGAAATTTTATACTGTAAGCTTTATGTAATAAGGGTTTGACTGGCCAATTTAACATTGTTTGTACTCTTCTTTTGGGAGTCATGTACAGTTTTAATCTCAGTTGTCCTTCAGATCTGAAGTACACTTTTAAGTTTTTCCAGAAAGTTTTGCTGGGACTTGACACACAAAAACTGTTACAGAAAATGATCTAGAACAAACTTGTTGGTTGAATTAATCCGGACAAATACTAATAAAAACCCGAAATGAAGATGTTTTGTTGTTATCTTTGTGGCATTTAATTGGTTTCTGGTTTCAAAATTAGGTGCCAGTTTTAATTTTGTCTTTGTTGATGGCACCAACATTTTAAAGGGAGTTCTGCAGCTTTAACAGAAGTTATTTGTGGGTATTTACAAAGGATAGAGGTCAGTTTCAATCTTTTATTTACCAATGGCTCAAATGATTTGGCATATCAAAAATTTAGCATGAGCATTTTGTGACATGCTGCCTGTTTTAAACTTTCCTTTTATTTTATTAATGTAAAATTGATTACAATATTTGAAAGCAGTTGCACATAGTAAAATTACAACATTTTGGTCCAAAATAAACATTCTTAAGGTTTTTTTTTGTCTTTTTGAAACAAACTCTTTTTTTGTAAATGTTTTGAAAAATATAGGCCAGTAGTAATGTTTTTTGGCAATAGCTTAATCATTTTAAAATATAAGATATTGTTTGAAGTAAAATTTGTATTGTAATATTTGAAGGAAGTTGCACATTGTAAAAATATTCACTATTGACCAAAATGTTGTTTTTACTTTTTTTCTTTTGAAACAAACTGCTATTTTAGATTATTACCATTTCTTAAAGTCAGTTGCATTATAAAAGAACCCGAAAGAATGTTTACTGTTCATTTTTTTAATGTTTTTTTTACCTGTGAAATTGAAATTCTTTTATGTGTTCAGCAGTTGTATATTGCAAAACCTTGCATAGAAAATAAATTCATCTTGTTTCAAAAAAATTGTTTGATTAAATTTTACACTTATAGAGCAAAACTTAAAAGTTAATAAAAGAGTGTTCATAAATCAAACATACAGTAACATTACTAAGTAAAATATACTGTATATGTAACTAAAATGCAGTAGTGACACATCTGAATGTATTGTATCTACTAAGAAATATTTTGACAACTTTACTTAAATTTCTTTAGTTCATTCAACTATATTGTTGCTTGTAGAAACTACTTAACAGACTTGCGTGGAACCACTTGAAACTCTTTTATTTATGTAAGTCCAACAAATCAGTTTTTTGAGTGTAGACGTCTAAGAATACACCAAAACTAGACTAGTCATCAAATCAAGGATGTAGAATTGGCATGAATGGCAGGGACATGTCCCCACCAATATCCAACAGATATTGAAATGTCCCTACCAATAATTTAATCGGCTTGAAAATAAAGTAATGCTCAACCTTTTAGCTACATGTAAACTAAGTCAAGTTCGCTACAATAATATAACTAAAATGTTGTTTTATGAAAAACAATACCCCGCATGTTTGGTTGTTTCTCTTCTTTCTTTCCTTTATTTTCTCACCACTAGCCATGGCTTGCTTGGTTTGGAATTATTTGGGAGTTGAATCATTGGACATGCTCTTCAGTGTCTTTACTTTAGGCAGTGACATTTATATTGCAAGGCAAGGTAGTGCTGATGCCTCACAGCAAGAAGGTCACTGGGATGCTGGTTCGAACCTTAGCTCAGTTGGCGTTTCAGTGTGGAGTTTGCATGTTTTCCCTGCCTTCGCGTGGGTTTCCTCCGGGTGCTCTGGTTTCCCCCACAGTCCAAAGACGTGGTACAGGTGAATTGGGTAGGCTAAATTGTCCGTAGCGTGTCAATGTGTGTGTGTGGATGTTTCCCAGAGATGGGTTGCGGCTGGAAGGGCATCCGCTGCGTAAAAACTTGCTGGAAAGGTTGGCGGTTCATTCCGCTGTGGCGACCCCGGTTTAATAAAGGGACTAAGCCGACAAGAAAATGAATGAATGTATTTATAATACAATGATCTGAACTAAACTTGAAAACTGGAATGGAGCCGTTTCATTTTACTAGAACATTTTCCACAATAATCTTCTTTGACAGTCTAAAAGCGCGATAGAAATAAAGATGGTTTGGTTTTTAATTATTAACAATTCTTATATTGTTGTATTGTTGATATCTATAATCTGATGTAGGCTCGTATACTTAGACATTATATATATATATATATATATATATATATATATATATATATATATATATATATATATATATATATATACTTTTTTATGAAGAGGGAAGAGGTAATTTAAGTCACATAAAATTTGCCAAAAAGCCAGAATAGGGAAATAGTAATGGAAAACATTTTTGGAGAAGGTTTGAGTAACAGGATATAAATATATAATTTCTTCACCCCTCCATCCTCCTGGCTTGGGGGAGTCAAGAGCAGAATCCAGGCGAGCTGGACACGCAGCGCTGGCCGAAGAGAGGGCTCGTTGGGCGGGGTGGAAAAAGAAGAATCCTCGGTTAGTCTAACCGGAGTGCGGGTAAGCAGCGGTTCACGACGCTTCCTGTATTAAACGTCACACAATTACAAAACACGGTTTGATAAAGCGTTATTTCTGCATTGTTTTCATCTGCTACCGACTAATGCTGCTATTTGTGTGTCTTTTCTGCCGTCTGCTGACTCAAACATAATGTTAGCCTAGCAGGCAACGATGTGACAGAAACGTGAATTCATCAAGACCTCGAGCGACTGTCTTTGTTTTTGTGTTCGCGAGCACGAATGCTATTGTTGGCGAATGTCACGTCAGCAAAAGTCAAAATACGGTCTTGGAGGGGTATTAATTAGAGGTGAATTTGCGCGACCTTTTAAATCCACCACAAGGATATATATGTATTTGAGTATGTCGATGAAAGACGTTTGACATTAGAAACATTAGTAAATATTGCTTTGTGTAAAACAATAGCAGATCCTGCCCATACAACTGCAACAAGTTCACGTTTTAGGATTGTCTATAATTTATAGTTATAAATACATAACTATAGTAGATGCTGCATGCTGTGAGGTAGTCATTCATCTATTAAAACATCTTCATAATAACTCAGATTTCAGTTACCAGCTGCTATAAAGCATGTCTGACTTTGAAGGAATGTGAGTAATTCCTAGGATTTGGTTAAAGTAACTAATCTAAAAAAACTCACGCTACATTTTAAATAAGTTTATCCATTTTACTATTTACAAACCATCAACTAAGAATTTTGGCTTAATGAACTATTAATTTGCTGCTTATTGATAATTGTTGTGTTTGGATATTGGGAATGAAGAATAAGATCAAACTTACCAATAAACAGGCAATATTTGACAGGTTATTAATATTATTATTAGTCAAGTAATAAGGCTAAACTAAAGTGCTATAGGGCGAGGCAGTGGCGCAGTAGGTAGTGCTGTCGCCTCACAGCAAGAAGGTCGCTGGGTTGCTGGTTCGAGCCTCGGCTCAGTTGGCGTTTCTGTGTGGAGTTTGCATGTTCTCCCTGCATTTGTGTGGGTTTTTTCTGGGTGCTCCGGTTTTCCCCACAGGTGAATTGGGTAGGCTAAATTGTCCGTAGTGTATGAGTATGAGTGTGTGAATGTGTGTGTGGATATTTCCCAGAGATGGGTTGCGGCCGGAAGGGCATCCGCTGCGTACTTGCTTTGCGTAAAACTTGCTGGATAAGTTGGCGGTTCATTACGCTTTGGTGACCCCGGATTAATAAAGGGACTAAGCTGACAAGAAAATGAATGAATGAATGAATAGAGTGCTATAAAAAAGTCATTACTTTAGATTGTGATGGTTAGAAACACTTCAAGTTAGTATTATTAGGCCCCCCTTTGATTTTTTTTTTTTTTGTTTTAAAATATTTCTCAAATGCACAGAAATTTTCACAGTATGTCTGATAATGTTTCTTTTTGAGAAACTCTTATTTGTTTTATTTTGGCTAGAATTAAAGCAGTTTTTATTTTTTTAAAAACCATTTTAAGGTCAAAATTATTAGCCCATGTAAGCTATATATATTTTATCACTGGTCTACAGAACAAACCATCGTTATACAATACCTTGCCTAATTACCCATACCTGCCTAGTTAACCTTTTTAACCTAGTTAAACCTTTAAATGTAACTTTAAGCTGTATAGAAATGTCTTAAAAAATATATAGTCAAATATTATTTACTGTCATCATGGCAAAGATAAAATAAATCAGTTATTAGAGATGAGTTATAAAAACTATTATGTTTAGAAATGTGTTAAAAAAATAATCTTCGCTCCGTTTAACAGAAACTGGGGAAAAAAATAAACAGGGGGCTAATTATTCAGAGGTGCTAATAATTCTGACTTCAACTGTACTTAAAGTGTGTGAGTTATTGGAAGCAACCTTTTGAGAACGGATTTATTTTGATTTTGCTAGATCTGCTCCTTCCACACACCAGCTCCCTTCAATGAAGCTCCTTCCACTTGGATATTTTCATCTGAAGAAGACAAGAGTTGATGAAAGAACACAGAGAATATGAATGATCCTGAAACTTCCGGAATAAAACAAGAAGATGTTGAAGAACGAATAGGTTGGTGTTTATTCTGGATTATTCTGTAAATTTAAGAGTTTAACATGACTTTATTTGACTGTCCAAATTATGAAAAGTTTAGACACACGATTGCCTATTGTTTAATTAGAATCTAGACTAAACCCTGCTTTTAAATTACTATAAATATTCCTTCATCAATATTATATGTGGTTTAAAGTAAGCATTACCCACAGATAAGTCCAAATAAAAATGACTAAAAATCACATTTACAAATATTTTAAATCACAAATTACAAATCCTTAATGCTTACAATTTTAAACATTGTTTTGTAATGTACATGGTCTGATTTAATTTTACTTTCATTCATCTTAAATGTTGTTAATTTTAACTAAAAAATCTCTTCTGTGCCACAGCTTCAAAGCAAATAATATACAGATAGCTTTGTTACACATAATTTCTTAAATTGGTTGGAAATTGGAGGCTGATGAAGGTCAGATAATAGCTAAAAATAATAGTTGGTCAGATTAAAAACTATCTGAGCTATTTTACTCTACATTTAATCAAATCTGGTTCATGTTATTTGGTACATATTACACAAATTTTAAATAATTCACATACCCGACTGAAGTAAACATTGATACAGTTTTCATCACTAAAACATAATGTTTTTGTCATTTTTGTAATCTTCTGATTAAAAATGTGCATCATTGGATGACCGCTGTGCCTAATACAAATGAATCTATCAAAATTAATTAATTTCTTTGCCTTATTAAGATACATTTTTACATGTTTTTGTACATTTCTGTAATTTACCCTTTATTAAGGAAAGAACCATATATTCTTTATCGGCACTGATTTTAATGTAATTATATATATCTAACACCGGCTGCCACTCCTGTCAACTAAGAATAGGAAACTGAGGCTACAATTCGCACAGGCTCACCAAAATTCGACAATAGCAGATTGGAAAAACGTTGCCTGGTCTGATGACTCCATTTCTGCTGCATTAACAACATAAAAGCATGGATCCATCCTGCCTTTCATCAATGGTTCAGGCTGGTGGTGGTGGTGTAATGGTGGGGGGGATATTTTCCTGGCACACTTTGGGCCCATTAGTAATTGAGCATCGTGTCAATGCCACAGCCTTCTGGAGTATTGTTGCTGACCCTGTCCATCCCTTTATGAACAGTGTACACTGTAAGCCCTAATAATTTGAGACTACTCAAATAATTTGAGTAAAGTGATTTCCTCAGTTTGTTTGAGTAATGGGAAATCAACAACTTAATTTATTGAGTTGACTAAATGTGGTCTTTTTATTGAATTATCTTAATTGTTTAATTACAGATAACTTAAAATGGCTAATAGACTTAACTTCAAAATTTTTCAGCTTTTATATTCTTTGCTTACTTACTCTGAGGGCCGTTTATATTAAAGATATTTAGCCACACTATGCTGGTGTTTCGTAACATCTAATTTTAACAAGGTGGGTTGTTAGCCCACCCGCTCAACCCCCAACCTAGAACACCAGGACTTACACACATGCAATTTAGCATATCCAATTCACCTATAACGCATGTCTGGACTTATGGGGGAAAGCACCCGGAGGAAACCCATGCCAATACAGGGAGATCATGCAAACTCCACACAGAAATGCCAACTGACCCAGTCAGGACTTCGACCAGCAACCCTCTTGCTATGAGGCGACAGCGCTACCAACTGTGCCACCGTGTCACCCCTGCATGTAACTTTTCTCTTTCGCCAGATGAGTTCAGGTAGTGTCTCTGTCACGCTGCATTTCAGCAAAATTTAGCATCACAAGAAAAATGACCACCTTGTGTCATATAACACTGACCAATCAGCGCAGTTGTCAAACACAATCAATCATTTTAAACAGAGACATGGTGAATCACTTAAAGAAATTAAAATGTTAAGTTCAGAGAACTAAGAATATTAATTGCATTTTTTTGCTGTCTAACGAGTAAGTTAAACACAACTGTTTAAGTTTTGATGCCAAAACTTGGTGTTTTAAATATTGTTGGGGTTTACAGTGTATCGATGTTCTGATGGCTACTTCTAACAGAATAACGCACCATGACACATTTGCGAATCATCTTACACTGGTTGCTTGAACATGACAATGATTTCACTGTACTCAAATAGCTTCCACAGACCTCAGTTCTCAATCCAATAGAGCACCTTTGGGATGTTGTGGAATGGGAGATTGGCATCATGGATGTGCAGCGCACAAATTTGCAGCACTTGCATGATGCTATCATGTCAATATGGACCAAAATCTCTGATTGAATATTTCCTGTACCTTGCTAAATCTGTGCCACGAAGGATTAAGGCAGTTCTGAAGGTAAAATGGGGCCCAATCTAGCACTAATAAAGTGTACCTAATAAAGTGTCATGTATTAACCCCTAGTAACACTCCAGAGTTAATCAAACAAGCATTTCAATGAGTACCGATTAAAGAGATGAAATCATACTTTCACTTTCATTTTAGACCTGATCGAAGAGAACAAGGAGATTGAAGGACTGATTGAATTGGCGAAGAAACATCATGACGTCAACATCGAAGAAACACTCACGAGTGCCTCATGGCCAAGTGGAGAGACAATATGTTACATTTGCCCTCAGTGTGGAAGGAGTTTCTCATGCGAACAAAGTCTTAATCTTCACATACAGTTTCATAATGAGGTGAAGCCGTATGCATGTGATCTGTGCGAGAAGATTTTCTCTAATAAAGGCAACCTTAAGGAGCACATGAAAAGGCACACTGGAGAGAGGCCATACATGTGTGATCAGTGCGGGAAGAGTTTTGCGCATAAAGGAAATCTTAACGCGCACATGAAAATACACACAGGAGAGAAGCCGTATGCGTGTAATGAATGCGGGAAGAGATTCAAACAAAAGCAAATATTCAACGATCACATTAAAATCCACACTGGAGAGAGGCCGCACAAGTGTGCTCAGTGCGGGAGGAGTTTCACACAAAAGGGAGCCCTTAATGCACACATGAAAATCCACACCGGAGAGAAGCCGCATTCATGCGAGCAATGCGGGAAGAGTTTCACACGGAGACAGAACCTTACCGATCACATAAAAATCCACACCGGAGAAAATCTGCACACTTGTGATCAATGTGGGAAGAGTTTCCTAAAGTCATGCGTTTTAAAAGAGCATCTGCGTACTCATTCAAGAGAAAGACTGTTTAACTGTGACCAGTGCAGTAAGAAATTCTTTAGAGCCGATGCCTTGAAGGATCACCTGAGAGTTCACACACAGGAGAAGCCTTACATATGTTCCTTTTGCGCAAAGGGTTTTAGACAGATGGGCAATTTAAAAATGCACCAGAAAAGACACAGCGGTGTGAAGGATCATATGTGCACTGAGTGTGGGAAGACTTTCTTTACAGATTATGAGCTTAGAGTACACCAGAGCGCTCATACTGGAGAAAAACCTTATAAGTGTTCACACTGTGACAAGACCTTTAAACGGCCTGAATATCTGAAAATACATGAGAGGATCCACACCGGAGAAAAGCGATATCGCTGCGATTCTTGTGGGAAGAGGTTCACGCAGTTATCTTCTCTACTCGGTCATACGAGAAATGCTTGCTTGAAATCACAGTAAGTAGTTTATGTTTATATTTCAACACAGGCCTATTGTGAAAACGTACCCCCGTATACATTTCTGTAGAGCGTGAATTGTGTAGTCAGAGCTACTGGCAGCATTTCATATTTATAACAAACGCTATGGTGCAGTATGACTGTGCCGACGGCTTGTTTTTTTTTCATGCTACCAGCTGACGGCTTAGCTTCATATGAACGGCTTTTCCGCTGTTACCTGTTTGTCCAATTGCTCGCCGTGTACGTCGGCAGACTTGAGATGCAGGGAGGAGTTGACCGCGATGATGGGGTTTGAGTCTGGTGGAAAGCAGTTCCAGAAAGCAGGTAAAAGAAAAATAACTGCCAAAAAAAATTTAAGTAAATAACAGGGTGAGAATGTGGTAAGATTTGAAAACGTGGTAAAAATCAGGCGGCTGTGAGGGCTTTTTTTTTGGATTGCTTTTGAATACTGTCGGTTGGGTTAAGGGAAGGCGATGGGCAGGTCAGTCAGTACTTTCGAAAACACTATCGGTTGGGTTTAAGGAAAGGGGTGGGTGAGGATATCGGTCGGTCAGTCGGTCAGTCTGTCAGTCAGTTGTTCAGTCAGTCGACAGCGGCCTCAGGTGGTTTATGTGAGAACAACATCACAAGCAAAATTACCCCCTTGTGTCATATAACATCGACCAATCAGCACAGTTGTCAAGGCAGAATTTCAAGCGCAACAAATCATTTTAAACAGAGACATGGTGAATCATTTAAAGGTAATATTAATTAAAATATCAATTAGAAGTTTTTTTGCTGCCTAATGACTAAGTTAAACACAACTGTTACGGTTTTGATGTCAAAACTTGGTATTTTAAGTAATGTCAAGTCATAATAACTTATTATCTTTAGTAATGACCACAGAGGGGTTTACAGTGTACCCATCTTCTGATGGCTACTTTTCAGCAAGATAACCCACCCTGTCACAAAGCGTGAATAATCTCAGATTGGTTTCTTGAACATGACAATGAGTTCACTGTACTAAAATGGCCTCCAAAAAAAATTAAACAAGTAAATAACAGAGTGAGATTGTGGTAAGAAATGCAAGCTTGATAAAAAATCAGGTGGCTGTGAGGGCTTTTTTTATTTTCCGGATTGCTTTTGAAAACTGTCGGTTGGGTTGAGGAAAGGCGGTGGGCAGGTCAATCGGTGCTTTTGGAAACACTATCGGTTGTGTTTAAGGAAGGGGGTTGGTGAGGGTATCGGTTAGTTGGTCGGTCAGTCAGTCGACAGTGACCTCTAATGTATTAACGTTTGAACAGCAGGCGTGAATGGAGATCTGAGATGGAAAAGCATACACAGTGTCCTCTGGTGGATTTGTGAAAACAAAATCTACAAAAAATGCTCCTGGGATGTATTTTGCGCTGTCCAGAAATGTATACAGGAGTACGCATCAATAATGAGCCTTTGTTGTCAGACTTTGTCTTTATACCGCCCTTCAAAGGCAAAGTGCAGTTTTTTTTGTCAAAAATGAGTCTAAACTAGGCTTTGTGACTTCTGTTCTGTCTTGTGGTGAAGTCTCCTGCTTCAATTTTGTCTCATTTCAGAGAAACAAAGATTTTAAAATTGTGGTCACTAAAAAAAACCAAGCTGGTGTAAAATTTTTAAGGTATTTAGTTCAGTTTCAGCGCTGTGTAGATAATGCACTTTGCTTTTGTAGGGCAGTATAGATATGCTGCTGTGTCTTTTGCATGTACATCAGTCACCACCTACTAAGAAAAAAATTGATTAATTGATTAATTCATCTATTAATTGATTAAACATGTCACTCTTGTTGTTATTGACTTTCATTTTTGATTGTGTGTTTTCTGTGCAGTTTGATGGGGTCCAAGTTTCCTGTAGATCAAATAGTAGAGCATGGTGCTAGCAATGCCGAGGTTGATGGTATGATCCCAGCGGAAAGCAACTCAGCAACTGAGAAAATGTGTGCCTTCAATGCAATACAAGTTGTTTTAGATTAAAGCGTCTCCTAAATATAAAAATGAGCATAATGTAACTATTAGCTTTGCTAGTTTATTGTTAAACCACTCTAGTCCAATATTTCAGTATTGTATAATGATTATATACATTTTCATTATGTCAAATTTTCATTCTTACATCCTTATTTGGTCTGTTATTTTGTCAAGTTGGCAAAATTTTGTTGGTTATTTGCACAGAGAAAATTTTTATAATACTTCAGTGACTGAAAATTAACATGCAGTAAAAATTGTTAGCTCAATCAATAGTTTGAGATCATTTTGAAAGGTGTGACTCAAAAAAGTTTAAATTAGTCTAATATTAGTCTCTCATCTTGTAAAATTTGAATATGTGAATATGAAAATGAAAGTGAAAGTAAAACATCAATGCTTTCAAAAGCTGTTTTAGTGCCATGCAGTTTGATATTGAAATCATCTATGTAATATTTGTGTAATTTATTTTTCTGCTTCAAATTTTCACATGAATTTTTATATATTGTAAAAACAATGTTATTTATTTAGTTTGGGAACTTATGACTGAATGTTATGATTTTTTATTCACTGCTTCTTTTGAAGGCTCATCTATCAACCATATTATGTTTGCAGTTTGCACTTAAGCATCTCTTAAATGTTTCACTTTACTTGATACTTGTTTACAATTCATATCTTTGTTCTAAATGTTTTACGTCAAGTTCTATGTAACATGTCCATGAGTCATGTTATTTTTTGTAAAAAACTATTCTGTTAGCGCAGCGTATTTATTTGTTTGTTTGGCTTGATTTAATTTTTTCCCATTTAAAAGAATGGAGATTTAAGTTTCATTTTATTAATATGCCAAAGTATATTTATATTTTGGTCACACTTTACAATAAGGTTGCATTAGCAAATGTTAGTTAAAGTATTTACTAATATATTATTAAAATCCAAATTCCCTCTTAACATTATTTAATCACTGTAAGTTAACATGAACTAACTTTATTCCCATTAACTAATATTAACAAAGATTAATAAACATGGTAATAAGTCTATCGTTCATTGTTTATTTATGTAAGTAAATACATAACTTATATTAGTAGTAAACTAACATTAACTAGTACAACCGCATTGTAAAGTGTTACCTTAATTTTTTAAGTTATATGTTTTAAGTTAATGCATTGCCAAGTTTATAGGTTGACATTGTTTTTTCATTAATTTATAATAACAGAATTTGCCTCTGACCCTGTTGCTTCTTTAATGTTTGTGAATTTAAATGATAAATTCCTGTTGTTTTGGTTTAGCATTTCTATTTAATGTATTTTTTTATATATATAATAAAAAATAATAGTATTTTCATGTTCTTGTCCAATTAATAAATACACTTAAATGAATATAACATGTAAAACTGTAAGGGGTTATGAGGAGTTGCTAACTATAGCTAACAATGTAGCTCTTAAGTAAAAATTTCAAGATAACAATTACTTACTGAGTACACAGACTTACTGTAGAAACCCTTAAAATATTTAAACACATTTTACTTACTCATTGTAGATTCTTGTTTAAGGCCTAAACCATATCAGACTCTGCATCTGAACTGATAGACAGAGAATGGAGCTCACAGAAGTAAACAAATCAAACACATGGCTTCCATAAAGGGGCAACAACTTTGTGTTTAGAATAAGACAAGCAGCATGGGTATTTGTGTGTTACTGCCTAAGTAATTCTTTTCTGGTTTAAGATAAATACATTTATTTATAAATAGTATGATGAAGCATCAGGGTAGATCAGGACGGTAATTGATGAACAGTAATTTTATACTTATAGTCAGAGTTACTTGCCATAATGCACTTTCACAAATAAAGGTACACAAGCTGTCTCTGTGGTGGTACCTTTTCAAAGGGTACAAATTTGTACTTTAAAGGTCCATATCAATACCTCAAGGGTACATATTAGTACTTCAAAAAGTACAAAAGAGCAAAATTTGTAGGTACTAATATATACTTTTGAGGTACCAATATGGTCCCTTTACAAATGTGTTCCTTTTGAAAAGGTACCACCCAAGTGACAGCTCGTACCTTTATTTCTGAGGGTGTGGGTACATAAAGGTACAAAATCTGTCACTGGGACGGTACCTTTTCAAAAGGTACACTTTTGTACCATACATGTAGAACTTTTAGGGTCCTTTTGAACCTTTAAGTACTGTGAGGTACACATTTGTGCTTTTTAGGAATAATATGTACCTTTAAGGACCTGTTAACAACAAAATATTCCTTTTGAAAAGGTACTGCCCCAGTGACAGATTTTGTATCTTTATTTAGTCATTTATTGTAGTTTATCCTTTGCACTCAATTTCATACAAATGCTACTGGTTTTACAGTAAATACTGTTTCAAGAGTTCACACTTAGCTGATGATTTATAAAAGCTTGTTTGGCTGGCTGTCCCGGGAGAGAGCCCCGAGCTCAAGGGCTCCTCGAGCCCGGGCTTCCTCCCGTTGGCAGAGCGAGAGGGGAGCCTGAGCTCGGTGGATCTCAGAACTCCCCTGTTGCGGTAGCTAAGGGAACACAAGGGGTTAAACAAAAGCTTGATTGTTATGTATGTTTAATGTCTTTGGATGGTGGGAGGAAACCGGAGAACCCGGGGAAAACCCACGCGGACACGGGGAGAACATACAAACTCCTCACAGAAACACCCACCGGTCCTGTGGAACCAGGGCTGGCAGTGTTCTTGCTGTGGGGCTCACCATGTCTCACCATGTCTCTGCCGCCAAGCCGCCCAATCAGAGGTAAAGGAGGAGGAGAATAGGGGAGGAGGGGGGTTTCTTCCAAACGAAGATAAAGTGAACTAAAAACTGTGGCTATTTTATAGTAGCTTAGGGCTCATATGATTGGAAGATAGTGATTAGCAAATGCGAGACCGACCGTGATAAATCATAAGCACGTGATCCTCTCGAAATTAGTTTATGAATAAACTTCACTTATTGCTGCAAAACACTGGCTATTTTAAGCATCAACCACAAAGTCTCCAACAGTTACCAATGTATGTCAAAAATCAAGGCAGATTTGATTTCTCATTTCATTACACCTTTAAACCTACATGCAGACAAGTGTTGATCCAGTCAGTCATCTCCATCTTGACTTTACCGTCAATAAGAGGCAGACACAATCACCCACAAAAAGATGATTTTTATTTTTTATCAAATGCATAAACAGCACACACAATAATAAAAAAATGTAAAGTAAAAGGTATCTGAGTAATGCTATTAAAACAAGCTTCAATGTTAAACATCTCTGTACACTTCACACAATTAACACAGTTGACAATATATTTGGTAAGAGCACCCTCTGGTGTGCATAAACTATCACCAACATGCAGACATGAATCAGAAACACTGTTTTGAAACGCTGGCGTTGATTAAAAACATTTTTATAAACAATTTAAATCAGATTGATCTACAGCATTTACATTTGATTCCATGTATATATGTGTACATAAATGTTATGCAAATACAAAATACAATATGTACATTTTTTTTAATCCCACCGATTATCAGTTCAAATATCTGTTCCTCTACAATTTTGTGGTAAGCACCAAAACAGTTCAGTGGCTTGCAGCTCTGAAGAAGTCATAGTCTCACAATTCTGTTTCAATTAGTTCCTGCTATTTAAGACCAGAGTAGTATTTGTGACCAAAGATGCATTTTGTCTTGCAGTTTTGACTCACTTAAAAATAAAAGCGCTGATGTGAAAAATATACGAAAGACTAAACAGCATTTTGAACAAAATTCAGCCAAGGTTCAAAAGCTGAACAATGTGAACTTTGAAAATCTGTGCTTGTTAACATTTGTCATATGATATGTTTCAATATTTCCTTTTTCTTTGGGTTAGACTGACGGAGGAAGTGCCAGCACACAAAACTGAACAGGTTACTTTCTGTCATTTTACAACCACTACTAACCATTTGTCCATTAAAGTGGTGTGGTGAGTTTAGCATCCACCTTCTTTGAGACTGAAATCTTTTCACATTAAAGGCACAGTAAGAAAGTTGTTTCCCTCCCACTAACATTCACTAAAAACACACTATATATTATATGTATATATGTTATATATTTTGTGACTTATTTACTCAGATTATCCCAAATGTTTTCAAATCCAAGACCTGGGTTCATGAAAGCTAAAAAAAATATCTTAGGTTAAGTGAACCTTTAGTTTTATTTAAGCTTGGGTTACTAAAAAAAAAAAAAAAAAAAAAAAAAAAAAAAACCGAGGGGTTAACATTAAGAACTTAAGTCTGCCATAAGGTATCCCCCTTTTAATTGTATAAAAGTATATTTCTAAATGTTGCTACAAAATCCTTAGCATCAATTTCACCTAATAAATTTAAGGGACCAAAGCAGCTCCCTTAAATCAACAGACACGATGGCTGATTTTATATTAATGTTCCAATATGGTAAGTCAAATTTCCAGATTTTAAAAAGCTGATTTTCCTGGATCTATCCACCTTATTTACACAGAAGAGTGGCGCAGCCATTGCAGCTTACATGTGTCGAGATTTCTGGTCTCATTCACTTCCATTTTTTTTAAAACAACTTATGCTGCTTAATGTTGCAAACTAATTTTCTCATCGTGTTATTTAAATTTTAATGTATTGTCATAGGTGACACAGTGGCGCCTCACAGCAAGAAGGTAGCTGGTTCGAGCCTCGGCTGGGTCAGTAGGTTTCTTTGTGGAGTTCAGATGTTCTCCCTTTGCATGTGGGTTTCCTTCGGGTGCTCCGCTTTCCCCCACAGTCCATAGACATGCGCTACAGAATTGGGCCGGAGTGTATGAGTGTGATCAAGTGTGTGTGTGTGGAATCCAGTGATGGGTTGCAGCTGGAAGGGCATACGCTGCGTAGAAACGTGCTGGATAAGTTGGTGGTTCATTCCACTATGGCGACCACAGATTGATAAAGGCACTAAGCCAAAAAGAAAATGAATGAATGAATTAATGTATTGTCATAAAAGTGCATATAGTTTGAAAATCAGGGCAATACATAATAAGGGGAATAATGAACAGTAAACCAGCTGTTAGCAAAGTTAAGAGAGAGATTAAAAAAAGCATTAAAGAACAAAGGAGTAGTGTAGTATAAGATCTGATATCAAGTATGTATGAGAGCTTGATAATCGTGTTAGAACAAGCCTAGAAATGCTGAAGCCTAAAGTCATATTGTCAATACATTTTAACAGATTCTTTACCCAAAAATAAAAAAAAATGTGCTGCTAATTCGCTCATGATTTCTCAAGTTCAAGACTATCACAGAGGAACTGTTCATTTAACTATTGAGTAATATTAATTAGTTGCATAAATGGTTAGGGTTGGTTACTATGTTTAAGAATACTTGCATGTATTCATGCATAAATAATTGTAGTTACCATAAGTACACAGAATGTGTGAAACAAGAAAAGCTAAAAATAAAGTTTTGACAATATCTCTTACCTTATCCTGATCTTTATTCTGTGATTCTCTTTTGTTAGCTTGTTTATACTTTAAATGGAGCAATGACCCAACTACAATTGTGATTGCTAGCAGCACAAATGCAGATGTTAACAGCAGTATTAAAAGCTTATGACTGTGGAGATCTGTAGAGGATAAAGCAGAAGCATTATTAGTGAAAAGACACCTGTCTGTATCTGTAAAAAAAAAAAAAAGATTCTACAAAAGCACAAATGCTGACAAACCTGAACATTTCAGACACATGTCACTGCTGGGGTATTTACTCCGGCTGGTGAATGTGTAAGACACAACACATGTGTGGGAATCATCCAGACACTCAGTCTCCAAACTGGTGTTGGACAATGAACTGTCTCCTTTGTACCAGGTGAGATTCACAGAACTCACATTAGACACTGAACACACCAGGAGACATTTTGGGACTATTGAACATCCTGGTGCTGATGTAGAACAATGACTGTGGTCTCTCTTGATGTCCGGTTCGGGAAGAGGTGCTTCAGACATGACAGAACAGGTAATATCATAATTAGAAAACCACCTACACTGTAAAAAATTCATTATTTTACAGTTTCTTTCCGGCTATTTTAATGGCCATTATTTTACGTGTTTTTTAAAGTACAGTGTATGGTTTTCTAAATTTTGAGGTCAGAATCAGAAATTAGATTTTTTTTTTTTATCTCCACTGTCTTAGTAACAAGCAAATAAAAACACAAATGTGATGAAAATATTTTCTTGAAAGACTAATTGAAATTAGACCAAATGGTCTTTTCAAGTTGTATTGAGTATTTGAATTATCAGTTGAACTTTGTATTACAACCATTTTACAAATTTTCTTCCCAATCACATTTCAGCATGATTTACTCACCATACACAATAACATTGTATTTTCTGACAATGTTACCACGGCTGATCTGCAGTGAGTAAAGTTCAGAGCCTTTGACGTTTCTGATAGTCAGAGATCCAGTCTGATTGTCCAGCTGTAGTCCATCTTCACAAAAGATGCTCTGGTTTGTTAATTCTGCTGCTACCTGATTACCTTTTGATTTAACTTCCCACCGAATGTGATCATTTTTCTGTACTTTAAAATTTGTGTTTAAAGTGACAGAATTCTCCTTCCACTTGAACAGTCTGTACTTCTGTATCAACACCAAGCAATCCTGAAACGAAGGTTAAACAAAGTATATTAGCAAACAAAACAGCTATAGCAAACTTAATTACATTAAAGAGGCTTAAATAATTCAGCATTAAACATGTTATGACTGATTAGGTTTTGACAAAAAAATCTCCTAATTTCATAAACATGAAAGGTAAAACAGCAAGTGCCGCACTGTAATTTCATTTCACTTCAAGAGAGGAAATTTTACCTGTCACGATGCACAAATAGCTGAAAAATATATCTGAAATCATATTTCTCCAAAGATATGAAAAAATTACAGCAGAATTAAAATCCTCATGATAATGTTAAATCTTTTTCAAAAAAAGTAAATATACACAAAAACATTTAGTGAAATACATGCGACTAGGTGAATTTCAGTGATTTGGTGTTATGATCACGCTCTAAAGAGGAAGAAATGAACAGTAGCCTATAATTTCATGTAAACAGTGTCGTTTTGCTTCGGGGTTTGGGAAGGTGTTGATTCTTGTTGGGTGGGTGTGTCAAAAATGTAAAAAATGTGTAAACCACTTGCTAAAGAGACTGCTCGCACAAGAGATACAAGAGAAAGTACATTGTTTGCACATTTATTTACATTAAGGAAAAAATAGATTAAATAATATGAAAACACATATATCTAACTTTTTGATCAGTTATTATTATTATTATTATTTTATTTTATTTTTTCCCACTACTGGGTTGCACCTGGAAGGGCATTCGCTGTTTAAAACATATGCTGGATAAGTTGGCGGATGAATAAAGGGACTCAGCTGAAGTAAAATAAATGAAATAATAATAACAATAATTATTATTATTATTAATAATAATATTTATATGGAGTAACTCTTTCATAAACCTTCATACTTCTTCTCTGTATATATAATGGTGATAATGATAAGCCTAATACAGTAAAAACAATAAAGTTATAGGCACGTTATAGGTCTCTAAAGACTTTATGATCAGGAATTGTGCAACATTTTAACAAACTGAATTTATCATTCATTCATTCATTTTCTTGTCGGCTTAGTCCCTTTATTAATCCGGGGTCGCCACAGCGGAATGAACCGCCAACTTATCAAGCACGTGTTTTACGCAGCAGATGGCCTTCCAGCTGCAACCCATCTCTAAGAAACATCCACACACAATCATTCACACTCATACAATTTAGCCTACCCTATTCACCTATAGGCTGTACCGCATATCTTTGGACTGTGGGGGAAACCGGAGCACCCAGAGAAAACCCACGCGAATGCAGGGAGAACATACAAACTCCACACAGAAACGCCAACCGCCCCAGCCGAGGCTCGAACCAGCGACCTTCTTGCTGTGAGGTGACAGCACTACCTACTGCACCACTGCATTACCCTGAATTTAATATCTTGTAAAACATACCCATGACTATTAATTAACATATTAGCCTAATATTTCATTTGCTTGACCATAATTGATAAGAACTTATGTGATGTTGTCAAGCAACTCTGGTGATGAATTTAGTCAATGTTAAGAGTTTGTTAAAAATGAGAGAATGAATTGTAAATTCTTTTTATGATGTAATCATAATATTATACAGTTGAAGCTAAGTGTTCATATGATGTCATTTCTTGAATGTCAGATTTATCAAGCAGTACCTTGTTAGACCTAAAGGGTTGCACAAAATTAAATGTATGTTATTGATTAAATTTGTGCACATTAAAAGATAATACATAGGATTTATGACGATACAATATTTAATTTATATAAATGCATTAATTTGTTGATAATTTTGTTTATAGCAGTGAATTCGTCATTGTTTTATCCTCAGAGATTAATTAATTTCTCTTTGATTTTTCTTGTTTTGTTTTTTTAAACTTTTAGAAAGGATGAAAAAAAGCAGGTGATAAACTGAATGAAATAGGGGAGAAACATCATCATGTCAAAACTGGTCACCCACAGATGAAAAGTAGTTCAACAAAATGATTTAAAAAAATCTTTCACTTGCTCTCAATGTGGAAAGAATTTTCAAGACAAGTCGGGTCTTGAACATCACATGAACATGGAAGAGAAACCACAGAAGTTTCTTAAATGTGGGAGGAGTTTTGCACAAAACGAAACCACATGTCATATTAGAACACACATGCATGTGATCAATACAGAAACAGTATTTCTCTAAATGTAACCCTTAAGAATCTCAATCAAATCCACTCTAGAAAAAAATCTGCTAAATGTGGTCAATGAAGGAAAAGCTTCACACACACACACACACACACACACATACACACACACACACACACACACACACACACACACACACACACACACACACACACACACACACACACACACACACACACACACACACACACACACTCACCGGCCACTTTATTGGGTACACCTTACTAGTACCGGGTTGTCTTCAGAACTGTCTAATCCTTTGTGGTATAGATTCAACATGGTGCTGAAAATATTCCTCAAAGATTTTGGTCCACATTGACATGATAAAAAAAAAAAAAAAAAAAAAAAAAAATATATATATATATATATATATATATATATATATATATATATATATATATATATATATATATATAATGGTTGACTCTGAATTGGCTGTAAGTTCAATGCACAGGCAGTTCCAGTCAGTTTTGATCACAGTTCTAAATAATTGTGCTTCCCTCCAACATGGTAACCCATTCCTCTGTGTGATCTGATCTCAAGGACACTGACGTGCTTAAACAGGGAACAAATATGACTGGCAAATATACACAAAAACATTTGTGCAGAGGTAGCTAACAGATGTTACTATGAGCTATTACACATACTATGCTTTCTCTCTTTGCCTCCTTCTCTGTCTGTCTAACTGATTTAAACAGGGAGATCTGTGTTTAATGAAAATTCTGTCAGACATTGTGCTGCATAGAGCAATACTAGTTTTAACTTGTCTCTCTTGTCAAATGGAATAAGTGAGAATAAGCTTGCTCTGTGTTGAGATTTTAAATACACTCCTTGTCGGGCATTTAGAATCCTTTAATGGACAGCAATTTGTTGACTGTCTTTCGGCAAGTTACTAAAGCACTGGCATACTATAATGTGGCTTTTACCTGGCCACATGTTCACTTTTGTCCTGAGAAGCTTTGGCTGGTTGAGTAGTTTTATCAATGAAAATCAATGACAAATATTTTGTCTTAATTTGTTTGAAATAAAACAAATCCTATACATCAGATGCAAAACTTGTTACAAATTGAGTCTTACTTTTGCAGCTGCTGTGTAATTGGCAAAACTGACATTTGTACAGCAGCATAGTTTAGAAAATATATAAATTATAAACAAATAAAAAATAAATGCAAAATTAAAGATGTACAGTTGGTGGAGGTGTGACCATCCATGAGACAAAAATTACTTGTTTCTTTAATTTTTTTAAATGGCCTATATGGAGAACCATCCAGCACACACACACACAACTTGACATGAAATGTTGATAAAATGAGTATTGAATTTATTCAATAATTAATTAAAGAACACAAAGTAATTACACCATAAATATTAAAATAAACAGAAACTATATAGCCTCAGCAATCTATGATAATTCATATCTACCACATTCTTCCCTGCAAAAGCAACATTACAGTTAAGAAAATAGCAACCCTCTCCTAGATTCTACTAAACAAGAAAAAATTAAATGTGGAAAGCAGGCAGTGACAGATTAAATTATACTGTTGAGTTCTTTCTGTGTAAGTGAAGCCAAGACTGTGTAATATTTTGTTTATTATCAGAGAGGGAGGGCGGTACAGTGGCGTAGTGGCCAAGCAAGTAGGTTGCTGGTTAAAGCCTCGGTTGGTTCAGATGGCATTTCTGTGTGGCGTTTGCATGTTCTCCCTGTGTTGGCGTTGGTTTCCTCCTGGTGCTCCGGTTTCCCCCACAAGTCCAAAGACATGCAGTACAGGTGAATTGAACTAAATTTTCCATAGTGTATGTGTGTGAATGAGAGTGTAAAAGTGTGTTTCCTAGAGATGGGTTGCAGCTGAAAGGGCATCTGCTGTGTAAAACATATGCTGGATAAGTTGGCGGTTCATTCCGCCGTGGCAACCTATGATTAATAAAGGGACTAAGCTGAAAAGAAAATTAATGAATGAGTCAGAGAGGGAAGGGATTGGATTTTTTTTTCTTAATTCATAATTCTGGGAACATGAGGAAGGACTCATCTTTGTCTTGCTCTTCAAATATCAAATATCTTTTTTCTTCCCGCACATCATCGCATCAGACAATGACTAGCGAAACACTTATTTTAGTGGAGGTAAAGAAGTGAGAATGGAGCAAGCTAAACACACAAACTATACTACAATGTCATTTTAAAAAATAAATATGTAACAATTCAGTTATTTAATTTTCGGTTTCAAGTATCTAAAACTGATGTACTGATAAACTGATTCATTCAATAAAATAAATTTCAAGAGTTCACACTTAGCTGATGACTGATTATAAAGCTTGTTTGGCATGCTGTCCTGGGAAAGCGCCCTGAGCTCATAAGATCCTCAAGCTCGGGGTTCCCTCCCATTTGCTGGGCGAGAGGGGAGTTTGAGCTCAGGTAGATCTTGAGAACTCCCCTGCTGTAGTAACTAATGAAAAGAGAGTGATTGCTCTTAGGAGATAACTATTTACTAGAAGCATGTCTTTGGTGCCGATTTGGATTAGTCAAGTAACTTAAGTTGCATGTTTTTGGACGGTGGGAGGAAACCGGGGAACCCGGGGCAAACCCACGTGAGCACGGGGAGAACGTGAAAACTTCTCACTGAAACACCGGCTGGCTTGGTAAGGACTAGAACCAGTGACGTTCTTGCTGTGAGGCAACAGTGCTAACCACTGGGCCACCGTGCCACCCATCTAATGGAGGAGGAGTAGGGGTGGACGGGGGGATTCTTCAAAATGAAGATGGCTGTTATATGGAACTTAGGGTATTTATAGTGGCTTAGGAATCATCTGATTGGGAAATCATAGTTGATTAATGCGGGACTAGCCACAAGCAATCATAGGCATGTGATCCTCTCGAAATTAGTTTAGAAATAAACTTCATCTATTAGTAGAATAACAATATTTAAACTGTGCAATGCCATACTCAAAGATGTCATTTGCATTTTTTGTCCATTGGGCGTATGTCTTTTTAAGTGAAGTTTAACACAGAAGTTGTAACGTCGAGGGATGACACACACAACTGGGGTAAGACCCAATATGCAGGTATAATCGTAGTCAGACAAGCAATGGTCAATACAGGTGCAAATGGGTATGTACAGGCAGTCCAGAATCGTAGTCAGTAAACAAGCTATAGGTCGTAAGGCAGGCGGCTAAACAGGAGAACAAGGATAAACAAGGCTGGGTTGAAACACGGGAAACAAGACAGGGAAAACGCATTGTAATGTCATCTACTGATCAACAAAACTCGGCCAACTGAAAGGGTGACTGTGTGGCTTATGTAGTAAATGCAATTAGTCTCTGATAGTACTCAGGTGTTGCGAGTGTAATCAGTCTAGATGAGTGAGCATGGGTGTCTGGGCGAAGTGCATGTCTGAATATGTAGTCCAGGAAAAGGCGGAAGTGTAGTCCATGGTTATTGTGTGAGAACCAGCGATCTATGAAGAACGATTGCTGGTTATTGTGACAGAAGTATGGATTCTTGTGATGAAGATGTTGATCTAGCATTCAAATTTTGACTTGCAGAATTATCATCTTGAGCATCTAGAATTAAAATAAAACAAAAAGTGCATTTCAGATGAAGCATTCTAGGTTATACATGTATTTAAAGGTGCCATAGAATTAAAATCGTATAATAAGCGTCATGATAGCTAAATAATAAGAACAGTTAATTGCATAATGTGAGTGACACACACCAATGCTTCCTAGTTCTCATGTAAATCTTGTCACTGTAAAATCGCAGTGAAAAAATAGACCAATCAGAACAAAACACAGACTTTTGTTGTACACAGGATCATTAATATGTGCGCTTCAGGCTGTGCTTTTGGTTAGTGTTTTCTGGTGAGATTACAACAATTATATATTTTTAAGTATATCTAAGCTTGTATTATACTTACTATTTATGTGAGACTCTTATTTTGAAAATGAGACTTGGTTTGAGGAAGAATAAAGAAGCAAATTTGTAAAGCAGACAGTCATGAGCTATGGAGCTCGTTAATATACATGACTTTGCAAATATGGTCAAAGAGCTTGTCATTCCAATTTCTGTGGTTATACATGAGCATATAAAACTATTTCTGGAGAAATTTTGGACTTGATATCCGAGAACACATTAAATCAATGCAATGGCACCATAAAGGTTGTGTATTGAACATATTGTGTAAAACTAACATAAACTGCAGTTTCTTGTCTTACCTGCTGAGTAATTTTGATTACTTTCAAATTGAATTACAGCATCTATTGAACACAAATTCATTAGAAAAAACAAAAAGATGTCAGCTGTTATAGTTTTATTTTTAAATGGTGTTACATGACTGTATAGCCACTATTCTTTTATTTTCCGTTAAATTTCCAGAAGAATGGCTCTTTGTCCTGTGCTAAATGATTCTACATCATGAAACTAAAACCAAAAGGCAACTGCTAATAGTTGTGTGTATAAAATGAATATAAAGATGCTTTACCCAAAATGTTCAAATATTGGATGTAAGTAGTACTTGCCATTCTGTGTCAGATGTTTATACACGAGGAAACATACAATGGTGATTAAAGCAACAGCAACACAAAAACCTACAGCCAGCCCAAATGTTTTTTTCTTGCCTAAAAAATAGAGAAAAAAAATGTACTGAATATTAGCAATAATACTGAACAAAAATGCTTTTGCTTTAGCATTCAAACTAATTGTTAGTCAGAAGCAAGTGTGGCGCTATCTTGCAACTCCTCAGTTGCTCTATTGGTTGATTTGGGTTTAAAAAAAAATCTCACCAAGATTTTAGTCATTTTATTTGTCGTCTTATGAAAAAGTTTGAGTACCATATTTAATTCCATGTTTCAAGGTATAAGAAATTATATGTAGTCCTTGACAGGCCTTAAAATTTGGGAGATATAATCTTAGATGAACAACAAATGGCGTTGTTAATTAACAAAAATACAAATAAGATAATAAACAAGAGAAAGAAACTGTGGACAGGATGCAGATGCCTGACTTAAAGACCCAATTTTCTGAATAAGCTTCTCGCTCTTTCAGATCATTTTGAAGGAGTTTTTGAGTTGTCTGCACAGAATTTCAGTCAGGATGAGCTCTGAACTTTGGACTATTAAACGCCTTGACTTTTGCTTTCAGCTGTTCTGTTGTATTTGCTGCACTGTTTCATTGTCTTGTTTCAGCTTTTTGTCTTGTTTCAGATTTTTTTTTTAGTGTACACCCACCTGAAGCTCCAGACCACAGGTGTCAAATTCAATTCCTAAAGGTCAACAGCTCTGCACAGTTTAGCTTTAATCCTAATTATACACACCTGATCAAACTAATTGAGTACTTCAGGCTTGTGCTGCGGTCACACTAGAGTTTGTCCATGCAAAATTCTATAGTACGGCACTTGTATAGGGAGAAAAGTCCAGTGTGACCACAGCTTTATTTTGAACCTCCAGGGAAGTGTTTTAAAGCAAAGTTGAAACTAACCTGTGTGAATTTGACCCTGCTCCAGACCAATACACTTAAAATTCTGCTGATCATCAGTTCTTTTTTTTCTGATGCTTTATGTTGTTTTTTATCTGAGGGTTTATTTTTTAAAAATTAAGACCTGTCAAAGATCAAATAATTTTTATGTCCTGATATGGAGAAAATGTAATTTCATAGAGCGCCCTAACTTTTTTATACTATAAAAGGGTTTAGGTTAAAAAATATTTTTTAAAAAATGAAAATCTCAAAAATTAGACCTTGTACAAAGTCTGGCTAACTTGTTTGCCGTGATCTTCATGGTTTGTGTCCAGCAGTTTACATGTGATGTATGTTAGAATAAATTCAAAGACATTTTAGAGACCATGTCAAGTCAAATGTTGGCATACCTGAACAGAGTTCAGAGATGGCAGCCTCTTTAGTCTCATTGATGAATGAATTGGAGACCACACAGCTGTAGTTGTTCTTATCCTCAAAATGCACATCCAAGCACTCAAAGTTTTTGTGCTGATCAGATATAAATATGTGGGACAGTAATGTTTGTCCTTTGTACCAGGTAAGATTTACCTGACTCACATTCATCACTGAACAGTCCAGCATACATGTTGCGAATGATGATGGACAATAACTGGAGTCAATGGAAATCTGAGGAGTGGGCAAATGATCTGGGAACATAGAATAGGAGAAAAAAACATTGCTGCTATTTGGAAGAGTGTTTAGAAGGAAGACTTATTTGCACAGACCCTTGTGGAAATATAGACAAGAACATGAATGAATGTTTAGCCATCTCTACCCTTATCCTAAAACACTTTATAGACAAGACTTATTTTAGACTTGATTTTCAGACTTGCTACAGACTTGCAAAACTTGCAGACTGTAGACTTGTAAGAGACTCCTGTAGGCTCTTGGAGATTCATAGTCTTCTTGAAGACGCTGTATGACTGCAGACTAACCAACACATCTTAATACATAAATTTTGCTTGTTCTAGTCTCCTGGACTGGGTTCTCTCATTCATTCATTATTTTTCTAAAACCCTTAACCCCACAAATTTGACCGATGCCACTTTTGTCAAAATAATTCTGATACAAGGGCCATGTTTGAGCTCAAACTGGTGTGCAACATTTTGCTATGTTTTCTGAGTAGAACAACATGTTTTAATTTTTAGGTGAACTACACCTTTAAGGCCCTAGTATACAAATAAAGTTCTTTTTCGTTCTTTGTTTAAGGGTAAGTTTGAAAAGCCACCACGATGTGCCAGATCTTTAAATTGTTTTCTATTTGACATGAACACTCCAAATTGTACAACTTTTCAAACTTTAAAAGTCATGGCATGACGCAGTGACACTGCCCAACAAGTGTTTGACACCCTCCATGTTTTTATAAGTTCAGTGAAATTAAATACATTTTTTAGATGTTAGTTTCAGTATGTTAGTTTTAAGGATGTCTAAAATCTAATTTGCATTTAAAAAATATAAAAATGATAAACACATCCAAGCTTGCAGTTTGTCACTTTTGCCTAAATTAATCAATGATTTCTTTTCACGTCACCTCAAACTTCATTTTCTCATCAAAACTTCTGACCAATCAAATGCTCGCTAGTATCAGACCTCTAAAACTTGTCAGAGAGTGATTGCACAGGTGAGGATACATCTGATCCAGCTCTGCTCGACTCCAGTGTTACACTCATAATGCTAACTTGATGTTGTTGTTTTGGATTTGGTTTGTTGATTTTTTTTAGAAGTCTTTATTTGCGGCTTTTTCTTTTGTTTGGTGGGGGTGTTAATGTCTGTCCAGTCAGCAGCCATATGTATAGATACCATTAAATAGAAAGCTACACAGTGGGTCTGCGCTGCTTTATTCTGGACAGTAAGGGCAGTAACTGTAACATTAAAACTATTTTACATTGACACTACAGGTATGAGTTCAGACTAAACTGAACACTGATCTTATTTATTTGTAAAATGATTTACTGTGTTTACTCACTATGGACAGAAAGGTTGAAACTCCAGCAACGTGATGTAAAATTGTTGATCAGTAGTTTGTAGACTCCAGAGATTAAGTGGCTGGCATTTGTGATTTTCAGATCTCCTGTTTGACTGTCGATATAGAGTTTGGATTTGAATCTCCCATCAGGATAGTCACATTTTTGCACTTCATTTTCAAGTATTTCAGCGATGACAGTTTTTTCGGGACCGTACCTCCACACTACTTGAGTCATCTTTTGTATGGACTTCAAATTGGTGTGTAGTGTGAGATTATCTCCCACCCTTACTGGCACTGCTGTCTTTGTTATATCTACCTCAAAATCAAAACACAATCATATGGTCATATTAATTAGTAAGTCAATTATTAGATGTAGTTATAATGTCAAACAAATGGATGACAGAATTCTAAAGATAGTTCACTTTAAGAAAAATAAAATTTCCTCTCCGTTTAACCATACCGAAGTGGTTTTTATTAATTTCTTTCTTCTTTTTAAAACAAAAAAAGATTTTCCGAAGAATGGAGGGAAAAATTTGTCATTTACATTCATAGTAGAAGCAAAAATATATGAAAGTCAATAGCTGTTTTTTCCAACATTCTCTAGTACCGTATATTTTGCTTGGTGTTTAACAGAAAACAAAAGAAAGAACAATCAAACAGGTTTGGAACAAGTGGAGGATGAGTAAATGCTAAATATAAAGATTAAGCAGGACTGACGTACCTGGACATGGATCACAGTATTGACTGAGTGTCACATTTTGAGTCTGCGGGCTAATGGAGCTGTGAAACACACAGCTGTAGGTGTTTTCATCCTGATATTTTACATACAGATTTAGAGAGATGGTGGGACTCAGATTATCAACGTCAATAGAGGAACATTTTTTTGTTTCATTGTACCAGGACAGAATGGCCCCTTGAGCATTGTTTGTTGAACACATTAAGATGCATAATGTGTCTGTTTGTGAACACAATGGAAAAAATCTGCGAATTTTAAGAGGTGAAGACTGGGGAGAAAAGTGAGTTATATGAATTAAAAAATGTAACATGAATTGAATAGGAAGCAATTATTATGACAATTATTATATCTTTATTACTTAAGCACTTTTTAAAATGTACACTGTACACTGTACACTGAAGAACACCTCCAATTACAGAAATACAGAACTAGTTGAAAATGTTAAAAAGTCTCACATCAAGTTCAAGGTTGATTGCGTCTCTGTCCTTCACTAGTGCTAGTTTTGTTTCATCAGATTCAGCACAAGACACATCTGCAACACAGAATTATTTTAACTATTGGAGTATTTAACAATTTTAACTATTGCAAAAGTTATTTCAAACAGCTAACCTAAAGTGAGGAAGAAGAAATAGAAACACACAGAGAAGAAAGTGAAAATAGTTTCAAAAGTTCACACTTAGCTGATAATTGATTATAAAGTGTGTTTGGCATGCTGTTCTAGGAGAGAGCCCTGAGCTCATTAGATCCTCAAGCTCGGGGCTCCCTCTCAATTTCAGGGAATTTTGAGCTCAGGTAGATCTCAAGAACTCTTCTGCTTGATAATGCCGAACAGTGGTGGAAAGAGTACTGAAAAAGCATACTTAAGTAAAAGTACCATTACTTGCCTTAAAATGTCGTGTGAGTAGAGTAAAAATACCTGTTAATAAATATTACTCAAAGTAGGAGTAAAAAGTAGCCCTATTAAAAGTACTCATGAATAGTGAGTATTACGCTGTTAAAAGTTGATGCATTTACATGTCATTTGTGGATGTGTGTAAACGTAACATTCTGTAGTGCATTTAGTTATTGCCCAGCAGGCACAACATGTCATAAGACGTTAATATTAGATTAGATTTAGGTTGTCATGTCCGATGAGCAAAATTCATTGTCTAGCCAGCGTCTAAGGACAAAGTTTATTTAATGTCCAATAATTACATCAAATAACGTTGATATTTGGCTGATTTTAGGTTGTTAGGAAAATTACCAAAATCCAATGTCGAGCCAATATCTTAAACCAACATCCTTTTGACGTCAAATACTGACATTTATTCATCAGTTATGGCAACCAAAATTCAACGTCTAATAGACATCATAGAGGTAACTTTGACACAACGTCAAGCTGTAATATCATTAGAAGTTGATATTTGTTTAAGGTTGGATATTGGACACTGACATCGGGCTGACATTGAGTTCTGATGTAAACCCGATTTTCAATTCCAAACAAAATGCAGCGTCTGCAAGACGTTAGGATACAATTTCAATCTGACGGCATGTTGACATTTTGTGCCTGCTGGGTATTTAAGATCATTTCGGTCGTCATACAGTAAATATCCATCATCTTCTCATCAGTGACATGCATCTAAACCAGAGGTGCCCATACTTGGTCCTGGAGGGCCGGTGTCCTGCAAAGTTTAGTTCCAATCTTAATTAGACACACATGGGTTAGCTAATCAATCTCATACTAGGCTTTCTAGAAACATCCGTGCAGGTGTGTTGAGGCAAGTTGGACCTAAAATCTGCAGGACATCGACCCTTCCAAGACTGTGTTTGGACATCCCTAATCTAAACAGTCTCTGGGTCAATGCGTGTAAAGATTTAGAACATCTTCTTTGACACTTTTAATGCTTCCAGATTGTTGCAATGTAAAGTACACATGACTTGAAGTAGTTTATTAGGATGCAGTTTACCTTCTATGTGTTATTTGATTGGACAGGAATTACAGGACTGATTTTCCTAATCCCCATAAACAAGAACAAATAAAGTAGTGACTGCAGGTTGAAGGAAAGTAGTGGAGTAAAAGTACTGATTACTGCACTAAAAATGTACTCAAGAAAAAAGTAAAAGCACACATTTTTAAAACTACTCAGTAAATTACAATTTCTGACAAAAACTACTCAATTACTGTAATTTGAGTATTTGTAATTAGTTATTTTACACCACTGATGGCGAATGTAAATTATGAATAACTACAGAGAGAAATATTGCTGATTAAGCGCTCATCTATGGTGTTGATTTGGTTTGGTTAATTTACTTATGTTACATGTCTTTGGCCTGTGGGAGGAAACCAAAGAGCCTTGGGGAAACTAGGGGTGTCAAATTTAATTGTTTTTTCTTGCACTGCGATGCTGTTGCGGACAATTCGGAATTGGTTCAGTAATAATCATACCCGGTTATTATCTATGATGTCATTTATCTCATATGAGCTATGTCGCCATAGCTTAGTATGGTGAGGAAGACAGCTTGTTATAGACTCCCCCTCGTGCCCCAAATATAAAACTGTACGGAAAGCATCGTCGATGTACTGAAATATTTAATTGAACCGAATTGATGGCATGAAAATCAGAACCGAACCGAACCGAACCATGAGACCAGTGTAGGTTCACAACTCGAGGGGGAACCCACGCAAACAAGAGAACATGTGAACTCCATACAGAAATGTTAACGTGGCCAGCTAAAGACATGAACCAGTGACATTCTTGCTGTGAGGCAACAGTGTTAACCTCAGGGCCTCCGTTTCCCCCTGTTAAGGAAAGCAGAGGAGTAGGGGTGGAAGAGGGGATTCTTCAAGTCAAAGACAGGTAAGGTAAGATACTCTGTTTTTTTTTATTGCAATTTAGGATATTATCTGATTGGTGGATCATGCATTAGCTAATGAAGAGAAAAAGAGACTTTACCCAATGAGCAAATTAGATGAAGCAGAAAAATCCAAGAAATATCCATAGTCTTCAAAAGTTTTGTAGAAAATGTAGAAGGTTCCATCTACATTTGAACACATAAACAACAACCGAGTCAAAATTATGTGAATGAACATCTCAAAATTTTACCTTTTCTTGTTTTGTAAGCTTCTTTTTTACAGTATACAGTATCAATTATTGTTAATAATTAAAATATATACCACATAATTCTGTATAAAAAAAAATCCATTGAGGAATAGTTTATATGGAATTGTTACTGAATGTTCTGTTGTTTAAAATGTTAAATTGCTGAATAACTTAAAAAGGCTCCAGTTACCCTGTGTCACACTTCTCACTTGTTAGAAAGCTATTGTTTTTTTCTTTTTGAAACAACTCTAGGACGTTCATGCTCTTTTTTTCTTCTGTTAAATCAAAGGCCACACATGCTAGATATTTTTGTATGAGCAGTTGCTTTTAAAAGTTGCTACAGGTTGTAAGGCTTGAAGCTTACGCTGCTATTCTGAACCAATAATCGGAAACAGGAAGCAGTTGAAGGATGGCGTGTTTAAATCCATTATTTATCTGACTCCATTGTAATTAATCTGACTCCATTAAAGTTGTTATCATCATTGATAAAGAGAAAGAATCTCTACGTCTTAAAGCAGGCAAAGTTGTTTATTAAGTTACATGATCAAATATACAGACATTAGAATGACACAAACTAACATACTGTATAAAGAAATTAGCTGTAACATATGCACTGCTGAACAACAAAGACAGCGAAACTGCCTTTGTTAGCATATGAGGCTACGCACCGGTGTGCGGGAGATGCAGAGTAAAAGCCATTCCCTCCGATCAACAGTTACCTTTCCTTATTATACCCTGAGCAAAGCATTGTCAAACATGAGTGAAAACCAACCCCCAAAACCAGCTGAACGTGAGAACAAAGTTGAAGAGATGAAGTGGGGAAGAAGTACATTAACATACTCTCCTCAGGCCATGACCCAACAATAGTTAATATGTTGTAGATTGAAATACAATTAATCAATGTCTCTGTTGATTTCATCACTACAACACTGAAGTCATAAACTGTCAAATGACACCAAACATGACAAAGTTATCTGAAAGAAGAACACGAGCAGATGAATTGTGTATGGTGAAGAGCACATGGTTACTCTAAGCAAATGGCAGAGATGTGTATCGGAGCTGTGAGGAACTCTGCCTCACCAGGAGGACCCATCCCATGCTTGGAATGTCTCAGTAGTCCTTCATTAGCATAGAAGGAAATATATATCATATTTTCTCAGCTTACAAGGTTGTTCAAGTTTTACAAATCGCTTTTGTTGTCGCAAATGACGTTATTATTTGCAGCAAATGAAGTTATAAATTATAATTCCTGAAATTGTGTGTTTCAGTGTGTAATTTCATTTTCTTACACTAAACAACCAAGATCTTAAATCCATCTCTTTTTCTAATTGTATTTATTCGTTGATGTTTTTTGTCTTTAGAACTTCAATCAAAATGAACAATAAACAGCCAAGTGATATAACTTAATTTGACATTTTTTATGGTTCTCTTTTTCATTTATGAGTCTTTGTTTTTCCTATAGTTTAAGGTTTGAAGGGTGTGTTAAAGTATTTGCGTTTTATATTGTATTTACAGACTTTATTCTTTTTTGAATAACTGTTTATTTATTACAGTTTTTCTCTATGAAAAGTGAAAGGTTAACAGAAATTGAATTTAACTGTTCTGATTTACAGCAGTTAATGGCATTAAAATAAAGCTTGTTAAAACTTGAGATGGTTCGGATATTTACAGTTCCACGTTACTACACATACATTTAAATGGCATCTTTGAGGTAACCCATTCTTTATCCCCGAGCTGAAAAAAACAAATCGTAAAATCATCCCTGAACATCAAACGCATGACAGCCTAGCCTACTTGTACACACACACACAAATGAAACGACTGACCTGGATGCGTGCTGTTGAGGTTCAAAATAATCAATCGTCAGTGCAAGAAGTTCGCTTTGGCTGCTAAATATAAAAACCTTTTACATGGGCTTTTATGTGTTATATAAAAACCGTTTACGTTGGCGTAATTCCATTAATTTGGGCGTGGTTAGCTTGATAGAAGAAAGACTTTTCCTCATTCTTCCTCAGACTTGTTTTCGAAAGGGTAGGCTAAATCCATCAACAATGCCTTATTTGAATATGCTATGTATGTATAATAAAATTAATTTGCAGAACCGAAAACGAATCAATTTGGTTTGCTGTGACTGCTACGGAAAACAGTTGGCAAGTGATGCTATTTATGAACCAGCTGGTTAAATTGAGCTGTTTTAGCAGGGATATCCCCTAGTCAGAGCTTAATTAATTCAGACCGAATTATTCAGAAAATTTTAAAAGTTTGTTTTCACAGTTCTTGAGGCTTCTATAAATAAGACCAAATTATAATAATAAAAATTCTGCACTAATTTTTAGATATTTTGTCCATTTCACAATATGTACACACACACACACACACACACACACACACACACACACACACACACACACACACACACACACACACACACACACACACAAACACACACACATATATATATATATATATATATATATATATATATATATATATATATATATATATATATATATATATATATATGCTCGATTGTTGGTATCTTAACAATAACATTGTAACATTTTTACTTTCATTTTGAGGTTTTTGTTGTATGGATTGCACCTTGTTTATAAAAACTAAATATCTTGGGAATCAGGTAGACATAAACGTATAGGATAGACAACTGTTTGCATTATTGAAATAACAGATTGGTTGTGCATCCGAGTGTTTCCTACTGCTCTGAGAAAGCTTATCATTCCAAACTCTCACTCAATGTTTTACTCAGAAGATACTTTAACTTGTGGCCGTATAGGCTATAGCTCGTGCCAAATTAATATTTTTCCATATATTCCCTGCTCGTTTCACTTTCTGATATTAATGTTTATTATTTATTTTAGTGGCAGTCAGGGCTGACATGTCAATAGAGGAGACCTGATGTAAATACCCTACTGCTTAAACCAGCCTTGGCTGGTTGGCTGGTTTTAGCTGGTTGACCAGGCTGGTTTTAGAGGGGTTTTGCCCATTTCCAGGCTGGTTTCCTGCCATTTCCAGCCTGGTCTTAGCTGGTCAGGCTGGGAGATGACCAGCTAAGACCAGCTTGAACAGCCTAGCTGGGAGCCCAGCCAAAACCACCTATGTCCAGCTTAAACCAGGCTTGTCAAGCTGGTTTTAGCTGGATTTAGCTGGTAATTTTCTTGTAAATCAAAAATGGCTGTAAACCAGCCTGGAAATAGCTAAAAATGTATGGCTAAAATCAGGCTGGTCAACCAGCTAAAACCAGCCAACCAGCCTAGGCAGGTTTAAGCTGGATTATTCAGCAGAGTAGTGAGGGCGTCCATGTAGGTAAAAATCCGAATGAACGTGAAACTGAGCGCAACATGCACGAGCACAAAACCCCTCCCTGCCTCCTCCCCCGTATGAATATACAAATGACTCTACTTTGGCAAAACCCAAAAAGCAAAGGCAAAAGCAAGCAAAAAGAGAAACTTTGAACAGAATGTGAATTGAAGGTGCTGCTTTCGGAGGTAGACCGGAGAAAAGCGGTGTTATTTGCAAGTTTGTTCTCCGGAATTAACAACAAAAGAAAAAAATAGAGTGGGAGAGTTTAGCTGATGCGGTTAACACAGTTGGGTCTGAACATCGCACTGAGTGAATTAGAAAAGAAATAGTGTGATTTATAGGTGTAAAATGTTGCAGTTCCTCTAACAGTCTCTGTGGTGCACCTTGTAAAATGCATGTCAACATGTTTTGACACGTTCGAGCATGAACTCGGTTCGAATCCAGCGTCTTATGAACTCTTTCTTCTTTTTTCCCCCACTGTATATCAGATTTTGCCAACTATTTATCACGAGAAAGACAAGTCGGAATCAATAATAAGTTTGTGCATCATATTTTATTTGCACATTTATTGAATGGAAATGTTTCTGATTCACGTATGCAAATTCATCTTCAGATAGTGTCTTTATAGCAATGTGTGTGCGGTCGATAGCTCAGATTACATTGGGAAAACAGGCGACCGCTGCAAATTGCGCTTTAATGTTTAGCTGGTCAACTGTATGGTATGGAAACCTTATATACCTGCTAGATGAATCCGTCTCATACAGCTGCCATTGCACGGCTTAGACACTTTGTAGAGAGCAATTTAACACAACCGCCTCTAGGAGTCGCCAATGGAAATAAAACAGACATGCACAAAAAATGTGCGTACGCCAGCCATAAAGCTGCCGTGGAGCTGCGCACATTCCCACATTCAGTTCATTGTTAGTAAATCCAAACGCGAGCGATTCTGAGCTTGAAACCTGGCGTACGCAAAGTATTTGTGTGTGTACGCAGCGTTGATACATGAGGCCCCTGGTCTGGAGTTCAGCCCGCTTGTGTTGGCCTTTTGATTTTGTCTGTTATTTAGGTATTTTCATGAATAGTATTTTATAGTTTGTAGTATTATTCTAATTGGGAATTTAGATTGTGTGTAGATATAGATAATTGCTTCACTTGTAAAGGCTGTCGAGACAGATTCATTTGTTGGTCATTTATTTTAATTAAACGATTTTATGAAGATACTGCTTACCAGTGCAGCCTGTCTCTTTCCTGCTCTCAGTAATGCAAACGTGTGAATAAATGTGTAAAAATACAGACATATTAACTGTCATTTTAACGTGATCAAGTGATTTTTCGTCTTTTTTTCTTCATCTGAACACATTTAACTCTGTCATAACTGCAATATTTACACTCATCCATAAAATTGATGGCAGAGGTGACTGTATGGGCTGCTTTCCACTGTACGTCGTGACAAAAAAGGAAAATTGCACTTATTTAAACTTGTCTTATGATAATACTATGTAGGCAGATTTCCCTGCTGAAAAATCCAGCTTAAACCAGCCTAGGCTGGTTGGCTGGTTTTAGCTGGTTGACCAGGCTGGTTTTAGAGGGGTTTTGGCCATTTCCAGGCTGGTTTCCAGCCATTTCCAGCCTGGTCTTGGCTGGTAAGGCTGGAAAATTACCAGCCAAATCCAGCTAAAACCAGCTTGACCAGCCTGGTTTAAGCTGGATATAGCTGGTTTTGGCTGGACTCCCAGCTTGGCTAGGCTGGTCAAGCTGGTTTTAGCTGGTCATCTCCCAGCCTGTGAAAATCAGCGTGTGCCCAAACCGACACTCCCATTTTTATGCAAATTTTTATGCACCTTCCCTCTTCCCCTCCTCTGACACTCCCCCTTAACAGAGCTGGACACGCCCACTTTCCTGACTTTTTCCAAACTAGAGGTGTGAAAACACCCTGCTGAAACGGGGGTTTCATGGCCCTTAGCCCTAGCACTAGTCATACAAGCATGCGAAAAAGTGTGCACAATTGTTTATCCTTTTGAATTTCTAGTCATGCTAACTGTAAACTGTATTATAAAAGCAACAAAAGACTTTACCCAGACACAGAATAATCCATGAGATATTCATCATCTTCAAAGGTTGTAAACAAAATCTATGGCTCCACCTGTATTTGAACAAATATGAACAAAGAAGTAAAAATTGGTCTAAATGGTTTTGTAGCTACCCATGTAATGTAACAAAGTGTGTCAATCTACAGATTTTGCCTATCTGAGCACTTTAAAATTCAAAAGATTTTTGAAATATGTTCTGACCTGATAGAAAAAAAATAAAAATAAATAACAAATAGAATCCTCAGCCTCCCTGGGAAAGTTCTCTCCTAAGACTGCTGCCCCCATGACCCGGCCCCGTAAAAATGGAAATGACATGACATGACAGATAAAACCAGTTTTTAAGGTGTATTTTTTGTGAACTTGTTTTTTTTTATATATATTTGTTATCTTTACACAGTAAAAAAAAATTAGAAATCAATATACAAATAAAACTGAATACTTTATGAAAATGTTTTATTTAAAATCGAGTTATATGTTGTTTGGAATCAGTTTATTTCAGTTATTTGTAAAACTTTATAAGAAACTGTTGATAATTTGATGAATGGCCATGTTCTGTTTTAAACAGCAGAAATAAAAATATGTAGAGGGTTATGCAGTGTAAAGTACAAATCAACTCAAAAAATATTTAATGACCCTAGGCTGCAAAATTACTGCCTACAAAAGGTCCAAATGCCCAAAAATGCAAAGCTTCCCATTTGAGGATTATATATATATATTTTTATATGGTTCTTTTTGTTTTTTCCTTATATGGCGGGTTTGGGGTTTCCATGCAGTGTTAAATTTTAATATTATTTTGAGAGGTTTATACTCTATTCACAGACTTTATTCTTTTTTTCTGAAAACTTATTTAATTATTAGAGTTGTATCAAAATTGAAAAGCAGTACAAACTGAATTTGTCTGTATTTTTTATAGTGAAGGAATGCTATTGAAACAAGCTTGTACTTTAAATTATTTGAATATTTACAGTTCTGCATTACATTTACATTTAAATGGACTCCTTAAGTTTAGTCCATTAAGTATCCCAGTTGAAAAAAAAAGTGATAGGATAGTGCCGGAACAACAAACGCATGACATACTTTCATCTGTTCTTCGTCGGATTAGCACCTGATAAGTAGGAGGCATACTTCACTCTGCGTCATACTTTTAGAAGAAAATAATAATAATAAAAAAATAAGCGACTAACCTGTATGTGTCCTGTTGATGCTCAGTGTAATTAATCGGATTCTCTGTGGCAGCGTGACTAAGTATTATGTTCGCGTAAAAAACTGTTTGTGGAGATCACATAAATATCCTTACTGATGAAGGCGTGGTTTGCTTGATGGAGTAGAATTTCCTTTCCTCTCTACGTCTAGACCTCTCTCTGAAACTTGTTTTCGATAAGGTAATAGGCTAAATCGAGGCGGAAATACGCCTTAATATAAATTGTTTGCATTCCTTGGATTTGCTTTGCATGTGCACTAAACGATGCTTCAATGTAGTTTGAGACACTACTCCCTCAAACTAGATAGAACTATTTTTCCGAGAGAGAGATTAGAGTCTAAACTCTCTCTAAAATAAAGTTTATACTCCAAGCTTTTCGATACTGCGTAGGTTGTGTTGGCCACATGTAGACTAGCTCGTGTCAAACAAACCATTTCCGTTATATCCCCTGTTGGTTTCACTTCAGGTATTGTGTTATGTGATTAGTCTATTTAAAAGACGCAGAAATGATCGAATTGTTATTTTAGTGGCAGTACATAATCTGAAAACATGAAATAAGAGGCTACTATCAAACAATGCAGCGTTTTGGAAATATTTTGTCTAGATATTTTTATATTTTCACATTTTCTCTCAGTAGCCTATTTGTGGTCTATTTGTATTTTCAAAATCCAGATCTCTGACATATAAAAGTTCAGATCAGTGCTGAAATATATTATGTTTCACTATTTAAAACGGGATTGGAAATTAATTATTTCTCCAGTCCAGTAGGCAGATCCTGCTCGGCTGTTCGCAATCCACGAAGAAAACGAAAATGAAAGGAACTGTTCAGCATGAGCAGAGAATCAAATCCTCGTCTTGTTTACATAGATAAATTAAGGCAACAGCTAAACCTGTCTCTAGTTAATAATTGTAGTAAATCTAGACCAATAGGAAATGACATTGGGTTCGCTATGTAAAATAATTTATCTCCTCAATGCAGTTTGCTTGTTTAAGAAGAAATTTACCACATTACTTGCATGAGCTGGATGGAGATACACATTTCTTTACCGCATACAGGGAAATAAAACGTAAGCAATTCTTCAATATTATTAAATACTCCTTTTTATTAAATTGTCTGTCCAAAATGTACTTCATGAATATATTTACTTAAATGCAAGTTTTTCTAAAGAAGACAAGTGGCAAGGAAAGTGGAGTAATAGTACAGGAAGACATTTACGTAGCCTGATATTCAAGAGAGTGTTAGATAGGTGTGTTTAGAGATATAGAAGAGATGACCAGACTATAATAAGATACTAAACTTAACTCGATTCTTTACATAACGGGTAAAATGTGCCATGTGAAGGAAACCATGTATGTGTTATTAATATATCTACTTCCTAGGTATAAGAATAAATGGAATTAATCATTAAGAAAAGAACTGTACTATGCAAATAATATACAATCAGGAATTTATTAAATACAAATTAAGGGTCAGGTAAAATTATTAAAGCTGTTTAAAAATCCAGAATATAGATGTTATCATACACGCTTAGACTAAATCACCAACACAAGAAGTGACAACTATATGCACCTAAAAGTTCGTTTTTCTAACTTGCCAATAAACCCAAAGCAGATGTAAAAGAGTATGTTGTGCTTCACACTAATTTCCAGTTGGTGACGCTGATGAATCAAAACTGCTTTGACAAACTTGCATTTTGTCCAGACTGAGCAGTTCGAGTGCTTCTAGAAACTACATGCTAACAAGGAGACTTCATCGGCCGTTTGTTAAAGGAATGATCAGAAAAGACTACTGATGGACTAGGTCATAACATGGATCAGTGCATCATGGATCAGTTTCATCCTCCATTTTACAAGTGTAAGTACGTGGAATTAAAATTGTTGTCTCGTTTACTTTAGCTTGCAAATTATGTATTTAGTTGTGTTCATTTCAATGCATTTGGGGGACTTATAATGCCCGCAAACGAGTGATAATCTAATAAATAAGTCACGCACCCATCCCCGGACCCCCGGTCGCATGCAGTCTATCAGCTCTACCAAGCCAACCAATCACAGTGCTTGCGCTATGCATCGTTGCGACATGTAGTTAATTTTTCTTTAGATTTTTAGACATTTTTTCTGCGCCGGAGCAAATGCAAGCACTTGACGCAGAAGTATAAATCAGCTTTGACTCTTTATGTATACAGTACAATCAGATTAACAACACTCAAATAAAAACAAAGCATAAAAGGAACCTTGTAACCTTTTGGAGAATACATGTCAGTAAAGAAAGTGAAAATAAAAATGTTTTAAAAGCTTTTTTTTTCTTAATGAGAAGCAATGCACAAGTTATTTAAAGAAAACAAAAAAGACAAGTCCAGTCTTGAATTAAAACTGTAATTGTAGATTTTAGCAAGCAGCAAGATTCATTACAAAACTTCATGATCAAAATTAACACCTTATACATCTGAAACACTCACTCATTCATTTTACTACAATTACAAAGATTTTGCCAAAAGTAAAAAAGAAATGAAAAGTTAAACTTTTATAATAACATACACATACTCCTTATTCAATTCATTCTTATTTTCCTTAATTGTAATCATTCTTCTGTATGTTAAAAGTAAGTGTGACTTGGGATTCACAGCTAAGAAACAACTCATGGGACATTTCTAACTATATATACAACAATACTGATGTATTACTCGCTCATCTGTACATAAAAACCTGTAACAATCCATACAGACTCATTTAAAAACTATTCTACACTTTCTCTTACCAGTGATGCTATTTATTTCCATTAAGTTTTTTGACAATCTTTGATGAAATGTTCATACATGTGAATGACAAACTATATTTATATAGCTTTTGTAAGAGTTGAAATATTGCGAATATTTTGATGTCTTTGACAATTCAAAACATGAGCTGAAAACAGAGACTGGTGACTCCCCAACCCAGCAGGTGGGAATGCGGGAAAAACCAGCTCCTGCTGCAT